CTATTTGAGACTCGTCAGCTGGATTTACCTGCATCCCAGAGTTGATACTCACACTGGAGCTCGAATTCAGTATCGGCAGCTTCAAATGCCATCACGTTATCCACTTAGCTACTGAATCCTGATAGTCACCTGCTTGTGCAATGGGGTGAATTTTTAAATTAACTTATTGTTTACTTGTATCTTCCCATTGTTATTTAGGACTGAAATTAATCAGTCACTTATTGGCATATGTGCATCCTTAATGATAAAACGAAAAACATACAACATGCTTGTAGACTGATATTCTAATATTTGTGCATGATTGTACAAATTAGAAAATAATCTCACTGAGAAGAATTAATTTCTATTAATTATTTTTTAATTACTTTTAGTAAACACTCAGTTTCTTATCTGAAAATATCCATATGTTTAATAATTAGTGTTTAAAACAAAGGTAGAGATTAAATAAGTAAAGAGTGAAACATTCTATACATTTTATTCTAAAAGTTTAACGCACTGAACTGTGAGGAAAAGCTTTATACTTGACTTTATTCAATCGGTAATGAATCTTCTGAATAATACTCAGTTCAAAGAATAAATGAGATACTATCTAAATAATACCTGTGATGTCCAGTGAATATAGGCTATTGAAAGACTTTTTTTTCATGTTCTTCATAAATTATACTGAATAATGTGATTTAATGTAGTAAAGTGTATGAACAAGATCTAGGCATATTGTTGATCTATAGTATCACGCTACTAAATAATATGTTTTACACATAAGTCAAAGAAAACATTTAATTTTGCTTGTTCATGTGATGCATGAATATAAGAAGCACTCAGGTAGCATAATTATCGCAGCGATCCAAAACTTAGTCTCAATTGGTTTATGTGCAAATGGATTGTCATAACATAATGATGGAATTGTGCATAAAACGACCTGTAACTCACTCATCTAGGTTGATTATCAATATTTTGAATCTAATTAATAAATCGCGCTATGAACAAACCAGAACGAACTAGCAAATGTTTATGTTATATCCTAGCGAAGATTAAATTACAAGTAACTACTGAGATCCATTAATGAACTAATATTATTTATATATTCTTATGGTATAATTATTCAGTAACTAGGTTGTGTAAATTTATATACATCTTATTATCAGCTTCATTTTGACCTACAGATCATTATTATACGATTTACTGTTCTTAAATTATACTCAGTTTGTTAATTACTGTCTCCCAGGTTCACAGCCACTTTTTGGCTTTATTGTGCATGAGTGTTATTTCCTATTTTATGGTGTGGTGCAGTCTGTTTTGTTGTTATATGAACCCAGCTTGTCTGAAATAAATGATTCGCATAATGGAAGCTATTATTGGTGTTATGGACTCAACTCGACAGCCCAGGCGAGCAAGGGACTAATAAGACGCTAAGCTGCTCATACCGGTCGAACGTTATTGGTTTAGTGCGGTAAAAAAGTGAATAAGTCGTATTTTGATTGGCGAATAAATTACTTGATAACTAGCCGGACGTAAAGTCATAGCAGTTTATACGGAACTAAATAGCAGAGTCCAATGCCTAATGAAAGAAATTTTACAGATGTTAAGTTAATAATAGCAATCAACGAAAATCCCAGGAACAGTAGGTTAACTGATTAAAGTTTCTATCAGTTATCAATGATTTTTAATTAAAACTTTTCACCTGAACTTCAGTCATCACTGATATTAAGAAAATTTAATTAAATCCGAAAATTCTTAATTCATTTACGTAAAAATATGACTGAATTCAGTTAATCATATTAGCGACTTAGTAATTCATAACTTCTTATTTATCTATTTATTTATTTGAACACATAAATATTCGTACAAAGTGGCACCGAATACATATGTGCCACACAAGTCTTACTTACTATTCGGGTGCCCAAAATGAAGCAGATAATATCTAATTATCTTCAAGTCATATTCTTATTCATGTGTTTTTCCAGTTACATTTTGAAATTTACTCAATGCAAATGAAATACATTTTTCAGTATAGGGATTGTGGAGATTATTAATTCCTTTGATTGAGATCATGAACCGATTAATGTTAGATCACCACCTATGGAAACGTGGAAGCACTGGACGGCCATTTCGTCCTATTGTGGGACTCCTCAGCAGTGCACATCCACGATCCCGCTCGCAGGACTCGAACCCAGGGTCTTCAGTCTCGCGCGCGAACGCTTAACCTACTGAACCACTGAGCCGGCATCCAATGATGTTAGTATCTAACATCAACCAATCCACGAAATTCCGCTACCAACTTCCATTGTACTGAGGTAGATACCTGTCTCTACCCGACACGGATTAGCTTTTACTTAACTGTTACAAAAAATAATTAGAATAATAGTGAATAATTAGTGAAATCTGTATTAGTTCTGTGTATTACTTTGTTACAATAATTCCTTTTTTAAAAAAAATTTATAATCATCAATTTAAACCGACATAAACAATAAAACATTGAACTGTTACATGTTTCATGTAGAAAATTAGATATTAATTGCAACAGATTGACGCATAGTTACAAAAATCATGTTACTAATATTCGATCAAGAATAAAACACCATTAATTTTATTGATTCAATGATGATGAATATTCCGATAGTGACTTTATTTTTGCCATATTTTATTCATGCTAAAATAAATAGTTTGTCTAATTATTGTATTACATGCAAGATAAAGTAGAATAATATTTTATTTTATTACAAATAAACCTTTAAAAAACTAGACAATTCATTATGAAAAAAGGAAAGAAAGAAAGAGAACCAAATTAAATAGATGGTTTCAAGGCTTTGAATATCTATCAATTGCTAAGTCGAGTATATTAAGCTTTTTGTTTGTAAGTTAAACAGTTTTAGATCATGAGTCAATTGAAGCTAGACCACTATGGAAAACCTGGAAGCACTGGACGGCCGTTTCGTCCTATTGTGGGACTCCTCAGCGGTGCGCATCCACGACCCCGCCTCGCGGGCTTCGAACCCACGACTTATCAGTCTCGCGCCAGGCGCTTAACCAACTAAACCACTGAGCTGGTATCCATTTCATATAGACTATAAGTTACTTTATATTTGCTAACAAATTACCGACTGATCAATTGTTTCATTGAACTCATTGGTTTCATTTCACTTGATAATAATAATAACAATTGTAACATAACAACAGATTTACTTCAAATTCTTTCGTTCAAATTTTATAAATACATTCTTCCTCTTTAATGTCAACAATGATTATTTTCAATGTATATTCACATTATTAATAACAATGGTGTACTTAAAATTTCAATGAACTGAAAGTTTAAGGAAATTAGTTAATTTTAAAATCTTTCTGTCAGTTTGCTGTAAAATATGCTATTTGACATAAAGGTTTGAGTAAGTAGTATATATATATATAATCTCGAGTTTTGTGGTTTTTCATTATTGTGTTTCCTAATAAGTAAATAAATTAAGGTACAGTATAAATTTAAGTGGTTTATTTAGTCTACCAGTCTTATTCTCAAGTGCATAGACTTTTCTAAGCAATTCTGTGCAAAGCTCCAATCATCATTACTTTGATAAAGATCATACTGTTATGCAGTTTTGAAGGATACCTAATTCATTAAGAGACTCGAATCATCGTTTTAATCGGACTTCACTCAGTCAGTTAGCTACAACGTAGGACCAGACCCATATATACATCGATCCAAGATGCAACACCTCATTAGCACAACAAAATGAATACCAAATTCATTCAAGTAGTCACTTCAGTGGTGGTAATATATAAAACGAAGATTGCATATAAGTATATAATACAGGAAGAAGGGAATATGATAATTTTAATCTCACAGTCTGAGGGAAGACGGAGAGAGTATACACCGAAGCCATTGTGGCCGATTCTGAGCCACGTCACACATAGTCTCCAAACATTGGTTACGATAGTCACGTGGACCCTAACCAAGTAATCTGCATCTACCAACACGGCTCACACCAGAAGTTAGTGACTTTGGTCACCCTTAACTTTTTTCCAACCGTCTTTAACACTAGTCAGCATTGTGTGCCGTGGTAATCGGTGTTCAGACATACGTAACACATGGCCCAGTCATCTCAGTCGATGAAGATTCACAACTTTATCAACTGATTTACCACCATTTCCTAATACTATGTGTCTAACCTCACTTTACTTACCCGGTGATCCCAGCAGATTCGAGCCGTTTTTTTAAAACATCTGTGATCAAATACTAGCAAATTACGAGTATCCTCTACTCTTAATGGTCATGCTTCGCAGCTCTAAAGTAGAACAGAACGAACTGCCGCGCAGTACACTCATCCCTTAATTGGTTGATGGATATCTCACCTTCGCCATAGGTGACGTAAGTTGGCAAAAGCCAAATGAGTTTCCTGAATCCGTGCAGAGGTTTCTTCAGACACCAAGATAAGTGAAGCTGTCAACGCCTTCAACTACTTCACTCCCTATCCTTGGTTCAGGAGTTAACGCAAGCCAGTCCTGAAGTAAAGACTCGGATTTAGAGTGGAGGAGAAACGCATCCCAAACATCCTAGCATTGTTGCTCCATGTTTATGTATATATATTTATATCATACTGTAGTATAATAAAACTGGATAGGGATTGTTGAATAGATTTTTCTGATTTGTAATAATTCACTAACTGATATTAGTTTCACATTGACAGTTACGTTAAAATAAAAAGATATTGAAATATCATTCTATAATGTTGAAATAAAATTGCCAAAAATCACAACCAATCGCTCTTAACAAGTATGAATTTTTTTCATATTGGTCATTAGTACCTTTCTTTCTACAACCACTCTCCATCTATAATCCCATAAGTCACATAATTAACTATCATTGAAAACTTTCAATGCTAATCTATTTCTTTAAAATAATAATAATAATTCTATGCTTAATATTAATGCATTTCTTTGGTAATTTACATCAAATTTACAAGGGTAACATTAATGTGTACACAATATAAGTAACAGAAAATAGGAGATGAAGAAATACAAAAAAGAAAAAAGAAAAAGAAAAACACTTTATTAATGTACGAATTAATAATGTAAAATGTACTGTACAAAATCTGTTCTTGCTAGTTAAATAACTTTAGGCATTTGTGCGTATGAATTCTACAGAAGTTTATTCATAAATTAATAAAGTATAATCTGGTTTGTAACAAAATCGTTTTATTCATTATTATTCTCTTAATTCACTAACTATTCGGTTATTCATACTACATACGGTAGTAGTAGTAGTAGTATTAGTGATAGAACTGAAACTATGTGAAATTGTTGATAACGGTATTGTAGATAAATTTGTACGTTCATCCATGTTTAGTACAGAAGTTGGTGCATGTGAATGATGAAGAAGATTAGCTTGATATTGTACTAAATCTGTTGTTTTACTAATATGATTCCATGTATTATTGGGAGAATTTGAATACAACGAATGATTGTACTGATTATTATATATGTTAGATAAATGCCTTGAATGTATTTCATTGTTATTCATAGGGTAAGGATGTGATTTAATAGGTGAACATTGATAATTACCAGATAAATTCATGCCTACATCATTTTTTCGATGATAAGCATATTCATGATTGTTATCATAGTGAGATTGTTGGTAAAATTCTTTTGTTAGGATTGGCTTCATTGTTGTAGCAGTCATATTAGATGAGGAGACAGTTGTAGTTGTTGTTGATGTTATAAATCCCCCTGTACATTCACGATTGTAATAATTACAATCATCTTCAACTTCATCGTTTCCTACAATATTTGATAAATTAATTTTCAAATGTGGACTGAAACCAATATCTGATTCTTCTGGTGTTGAACGAAATGGTGGTGATGATGTAGATTGACTTTCATTTGGACCAAGACCGGTAGATAACTGAGAATTACCAATATTACTATTATTAGTATTTACGGTAGAATATGTTGTATTTGAGAAATTGGAGAAAGTATGGTAATTAGTATTTAAATAATTTGATTCACATGTTATAATTCCATTCCCATTAGATACGGTAGTGGTCGTTGTGGAATTCGATAAATATGATGAAGTAGTATATGGTGAACACTTGTTCCAATATTCATTATACATATAATTTGGATAAAATGTATTAGTTTGTAAAAAGTAATTAGGTAATTGTTCCGAGTATCTATCTTCTAATTTATATGGAGATTTATGGGATGTTTGTTCCTCATTCATTTTACAATCTACTGAGTGATATGATGTGTAATTATTTCTACTATTTTGAAATGTTGATGAAGTATAATAAGCATCATTTTGATGACATGCATTAGTTTGTAAAAGATTTACGGAATTATTTGTTAATGGAAGTGTAGTTGATTGTTTATCTAATAATTCCAACTGTTCATTTACACGTGAATTGTTTTTAGAATATTTTGACTTCATTGAATTTGAACTGTTAGCATGATTTAAGTTGTATTGTTGATGAGAATGTAAATATGATTGACATTGTAACTGATGATGTTGGCCAACAATATTGGTAGTGGTAGTAGCAGTGGAATTAGATGAATTAACTTTGGAATACATTGCATTGGCTACAGAAGCAATATTAGCTAAATAAGTTTTTGTTTCTAAATCTCTTTGTTTTTCACACTGATGAAGATGATTCAATAAATGTCGACTTAATTCTTGACCAGATATATTGATACCATCATATGTGGATAATAAACGAGTTACTTCTAAGAGACAATCTTTAAATCCTATACGACGTAATTCAATTGAACGAGCTTCTGAACCAAGTACATAGCCTTTAAAATGATAAAAAAAGAATTCTCTATGTAAACTAGTACAAAATATTTGCTACTGATTATGTTATACGATTGGAGATATGCTTCATGAAACCTCGCATTTATGTTCCTTGCTGTTTAAAGCCCGTCAACAAGCCATACCTGTAATTTGAGCAGACTGATTCACCCTGTTCGATGCAAACGCAAGTGAACCAGCTTGAAATTCTAGAGTTACTATTGGACAACTTCAATGGCTAATGATTTCATGTAGGGCTGAGAGGTTTACTTCGATCAATCAGTAAGTAGTAACCAATGTAATATTTGTTAGGTCCTTAGTGCCGATGGAATTTTATGGACCAAGTTACAATATGACCACTATATTTCAATGTAAAGTAGTTGGAATCTGGTGAGATGCACTTAAAAAACAAGTTTCCTTTTATCTTGTACGGTTCTTGGCTCTTAAGCCGTCCAAAATTGCCGAAAAGGAATCATATGTATAGAATAATATTATTTGTATAAATGAAGTATAATCACTTTTAAAATTTTAACCAAAAAGGAACGCATATTTATGTGCTTAAGAAGGGCCATAGTAGGTACATTTTAACATAGCATGTCCACGATATTTTCGCCGGTTGCTATGGTAGTGTTATTCAATGAGTGAAATATTTTCATATTTTAGCATGTAAATAAAAGAAACAGAATTCCATTATACACTCACCTTCTTTATGAAGTCTCTGTAAAAATTCAACGGTAAGTTGAAGTATTTCAGCCTTTTCCAGTTTGGCTGAACCCTATTAAATAAAAAAGGAGTCAATGAAAATATTTAATCAGTGATGGCGTTATAATTTAAAATAATATATCTCATCACTAGGTCATTTACACCAGGAAACTATATCAGCTGGATAATAATAGGAAAAATGGATACAATGAGTTGAGAATCTTTTTGTTTGATCATAGGAAAACTGAAAAAAGGATGAATAGCAACTGGAAAGAACTGGAAAGGACTGCCCAGGACAGGGTTGGATAGAGAGTGCTGGTGGGAGGCCTATGCTCCTCCACGAGGAGTAAGTAAACCGAAACATTCATCAATAAGAGCCTCATTTAAAATTATTACAATCTGAATTCATAAAATTTATTTAGTATGGAAAACATTTTATTGTGTTATACAAAGAATTCAACAACTCATTGATCCATAGTTTATGGAATTCTAATAAATTTTGAGTGTCACATTAAAACCCCATACTACAAAAGAAGTATATAATTTGACTGTTTTTGGTTTGAGAATATATCAAGTGTTTGACTACAACAAAAACGCATTTTCTGAAAGTAAATTTTATCATGAACTAAAAAAAAATCTGGAGAAAGATTGAAAACTACTGTAGAGGTGAGGGGATTGATCAATACATTTGATCTTCGTTTGTGAACTCTAGGCATACTATGACTCCTCATTCTAACATAATACATTTAAGCTGACAAGTCTGTAACTAGTTCCAGTAAATTTATAATACTTTACGATAATTATTGAGCCGTAATGGTGGTAAATTTATTTATGATTCCTAACAATATGTGTTACTATTATTTTACTAGTTTGTAGAAGAGGCTATCTAAAAGATAAAAAGTCACTTATGCTAATGCTATGGTAATGTATATTTGGTTTTGTATAAATCCGAATTAATTGACCATATATATATGGTCGGCCATTCCTGTTACCTTTCGTGGAGAAGCATAGGCCGCCCACCAGCATATATATATACTGCTTTGAGCTGAAAATTTTATGGTTGCCAGTTATATTATATGGTGACACAAGGAGATCTCCGGTCAGTAATCAAATAGTTGGAAATCAACTCTCAGAAGGCTGAAGGTATTCGGAAGGAAACCCTGAACCTAAATTACATACCACTTGGCATTCACCTGTAACATGTAGCCATAATCTCAAAAAACACTAGTGGCCCCATTGGACCGACTACCTCCAACCACAGAAAAACTACGCATTAGGTATGTGATGTCAAGCCCCTTGGACTAGTGGTCATGTTACAACCTGATAGATAAAATTTGATCATTTTTCAAAACCTCATAAATGTGGCATTGGTTATTGTTCAGTAATGAATCAGTGTGTTAAACGACTGAATCATTTATTAGGCCTAGACATTGGACAATGTTGGGAAAACTTTAAGATTGAACTAAATACATTATAAAGGTGTCGATCAGGCAATTTACATGAGTTGAAATTAATAAAATACAACCGAGTCAAGCATTACATTTAATTCAGAACAATCACAAACATAAAAATCAATAAAACTTATACAACAAAGGATCATAGATCATTTTGTTCATTAAAAATATGTTTACACGTGATGCAGATGGTTCTTTCCTATTTTACTCTTCATTTACAAATATGTTCAGAAATCGAATCAGTAAAAGACAACAGTAACTCATATACACAAACACATACGTTCCATCGGTATACATAAACATAATTGGTTAAGTTCGAGCAAACATGATTCTCATCTGGTTTTTTGAGTAATTTATTTTATGAATATATCTGTATTTAAGCATAATTTTCTTTCTTTAGGTCGAATTTATTTATTTTATGTCATATTTTTTGTCACTTCACTGTTCTATATCCCCTTGGAATACGGGGAAAGGAAAAAGAATCATTTGTGTGTATGTGTTTGTGTAAACGTTTGTACATCATCTTTCTTTTTGTTACTCAAGGTGTGAGTAAAATAAGTTATATTCTGCTCAAATATTCCTTTTAGTTGATCCGATAATAAAAAATTCCTTTTTAATCAAGAATATTTGGCATTCATATATATGTAATTAGACCAGCTGCTCCACTATGGTGATACGTTTTTATTCTTCTCCAAGATAAGCAGGTGTACTTTATTACTTATAATAATATTTAATACATTATAATACATATCATTCACATTAATCTTATTTAGTTAACTATGAACGTCTCTATACATGAGTATACAGTTATTTTGAGTTGAATAAAGAAGAATAATCTATTATAATTGACAATATACATTAGACAAATTATCAAGATATTAAATCTTTTTCTTCAATGAAAGGTAACATTTTAGAAATATGAAATGATCAAGTTTATTTTTAGATAGGTGTAGTAGAAGTCACATTGTAAATTAGGCATAGATCCCTTTAATAATTCATTACTCTAGATCTTGAATTTTAGTGTTTATTTATAAAAATTCCTTCATATTCCATCTTTTCGAACCATATTCTGAATGGTTAGTCTTTCTTATTACAATTTTGACTATATTAGTTTAACTCGTTTACTAATTATCTTGTTGATTTCTACTTATCATGTTCATGTGAAATGGCAACTTGAACAAATACACATATGTACCAAACTCTATATTAATTGTATCTGTGATACTCAACTAATACTAATTAGAGTACTTATTACCCTCTAGCTCATTTACTTATTATAGGTTCTAAGTAGTTAACGTCTCCTTAAAATCAATGTTGAGTGGCTTGATGATATTCTGAGTTTAATTTCTATTAATCTAATGCCATGTTATAGCCGAGAGTGGGGAGAGTCAGCTCTCCTTCTCGAAATCCCCTCAAGTGGCCACGTGCATACAACAACTGCCAGAGAAGTCCTTCTCACTGCCTTCTCGTGGCGGGGGTGTTCGTTACGAAATTGAGAGGATAAGAACCGAATGTCCAGCGCTTTAACCGGGTTGGTGGATACGGAGGATCCAGGATCCCGAAGGAACAAAGGGCGTATGAACCAATCGTTGGTCACTGGATACTATGGGACTGAATCTCCTAACGTTGTTCCACTGCCTTGTGGATTAGACCTTTAGGTCGAAGGCTCCAGATGTGGTTTCCTAAGAAAACCACCTTCTTCGGTCTGGGCACCCGGGCATAAATAGAGTGATTTATGTGGCACATATTTGTTTGGTGCCACCTTGTACCAAAATTTATGTGTTTAAATAAATAAAACATGAAAACTGACATATGCCTTTGGTATATTAACGTTACTTTCTCTCTCCCTAGCTAGGCAGAACTGTATATTGATTACAGATTTAACTGACAACTTAACCAAATCAGAAAACTTCGTTCTCGTCACTTCATTCAATTTTTGTTAATGTATTAAGATGTATTAAGTTTTCTGATGGTTTCTCTCTTTAAAAAGTATTGTCAAGGTTATTGAGATCATACTATTAATATTTGTAAAGTTTATTTAACGATTATTTAAACTTTTATCCACTATAAATTAACCGAGATTGTATTCAATTAACAATCCATCTTCACAGTTGATTCGAAAAGAATGAATATTAGATAAACTAGACAGTGATTAAAAAATTTCACATCCATCATTAAAAATCATGAACGCACACAAGCATATATCTACTGCATGTAAATGTAAGATGATAAAGTCCTTTCAACAATTTTAGGAGTACGAATGCATTTGACCTGTACATAGATAATGATCAGTAAAGTGTTCATTCTATGTTACACCTATCATAGAAGCTATAAATGCATAATAATGGATCAGTTTCCTCTTCTTTGATAATGATGTTACTAAGGTATCTGATTAGCTTATCATCAATTAGCAATCACAGCAACATGATATGATCATAGATTGTTTTGTAATCTAGGAAACATTCATCTCTCTCAATGTTTTCTTTTCATAAAACTCCATTTTCTGACTATGTGTTCACATGTACAGGTGAAAAGAGAAATTATCTTATCTAAAATTTGTTTACATTGATGATTTTGGGATACACCTAGCGATATTCAAACACATACATAGTCTTCATAGGTAAACTTATCATTGACAAGATCATTTTGAAGATCTTGTTTCTAAGGTCACTCATAATCAGTAGTGGCAATGCAAACATTGTATAATAGTAAAATAGAAAAACTATTGACATAAACTTGTACACATACAAAAGAATAAAATCAACATATGCACCACGTACCAAAATATATGAATTAAAAACATCTATTTAAGAAATATAATTCTTTGTTTGAACGAAATCAAGCTAGTTGATTTACGGAAGAGTCAATGGATTTATGAATGTAATTTAATGTAAAGCTTATATTATTCTAGAAGTTTATGTAGTGCAACAAAATTACTTCTAGTCGAGTAAGACCAATGAATGTAGATTAGAAATATGAATTTATTTATTTATTCTTCAGATCTTTTTTTCATCTGTTTACTATCGACGTCATTTATTGTTCGTTTTGGGTGGTTAAGTGAAATGATACCAGTGAAATTTCATGTATTTGTATTGATTATTTGCAGCTGTCAAATGTGCATCACGTTTCATTACATTTACAGGAATTTACACTTTTAATATTAATTTTAGATTGTAACCATACTAATAAAGTTCACCAGATAAATGAATTTATATCATTTCTCTGTAAATATATCGCAAACCCTCTTTATAGCAGTTTCTTTTAAAATAATATTGTACCGGTGGAGAAGATTTGTAGCTCAGGTGGATGATTTTGATGGAGTTTTGTTCTCTGAGAACAAAACTCCATCATAATATTGTACCATTTATCAGAAATAAACACAAGGATACGGTTCACAAACTTCACTGAAAGTGTTCTGCCTAGTGCCTAGTATCTCAAGAATTAAGGTCATAGGTATTTAGGTCATACTACTACATCATGAATTTAGATTCATTCATGGTATATTTTTAGAAAGACAAAGATCACATTTCATCCAGTTTAGATTAACTTAGGAATAATAAGATCTAATGTCTCTCAATAGATGTATATGAATATAATTTTTAACAATATGATAAATGTCCCTTCATATATTTTGTATTGTTCAATAGAATTTGATCATATTTTCTTTTATTCAACTGTTATAGATTTTGTAATTTCAAGAAATATTGTAACTCAAACAAACTCAACAATTTCTACTCAATTATTTCTTCATTATAGTTAATATTTAAAAAAAATTAATATATTTGTATTATCCTAATGAGTAGAAAAATCAGATGTTCTGGCGTTTCGTGACTTAGTGTATGCTACTTCTTCAGAGAATAAATGTTCAAAGGATTAGTATAAGGATAACGGTTAAGAAATGATCATTTACAAATTTTATGCCAAGCATATATATATATATATATATATATATATATATATATATATATATATATATATAATATAATAATATATCTTTTGAAACACAGTTCATATGAACGAAGAATATTCTTATTAATGAATTTCTCATCAGGTTCTACAATTATCTCAGATCGTAATATATGAATTGAGAATTGTTGTTTGTCATATAAAATCAAATCAGATCGTTAATGTTCGGGTTGACTAATATGAAGTTGCTAACTTGAATCAGTTTACAAGTGAAAGGAAATAGTGAGATAAATGGTCAGAATAAATATGATCAACATGAGGTGAGAGAAAGAGAGAATAATGGAATAAAAATAAGAAATTACGTAATATGTAGAATAATATGAATTAGGTCAGATATAGTAGATGGGGGTGGATACTGAATAAATTTCTCAGAAAGGTTATCAAGTGTAATAATAATAATAATAACGGTAAAGATATTACAAACAACAATTCTTGATTCACATATTACAATTTTAAATGGTGTACTCTGCCTTAAACCTGGTCAATTTTATGGACTATTAATTTGGATATGAGATAATTGTAGAACCTGATTAGAAATTATTGAAAAGAATGTTCTTCATTCATATAATTGTGTTTTAATATAATGGGAATTTTTTTAACGATTTATCTTTTCATTTCTGAATGAATTACTTACAGGTTTATGATTTGAATCTGGTACTAAACGTTTAAGATCTGCTAAACTACAATTGATTCGATCACGTCTACGTTTTTCAATCACCTGGAGAAAAAAACAGAAGAAAAAAAATAATCAGCTCTAAATCTTGGTATGAATATTCTTTTTTTTCTTTTTACTGAGTAAATTGGTTATAAAGTACATATTTACGTAATCAAGGTTACTCAGATTAAAGTAATCAGAGGTAAGTTTGAACCTAAGACCAACTGTGTAAAAATTGAGTCTTTTAATTATTTATCTACCGCTATAATGATAACATTAAACTTAATTATCGAATAATAATATAGGTAAGTTATGTATATATTTAGGCATAATGATGTTTACTGTCATGACTTAGTTTATATTTGTTAATCATTTGATAACTTGTTGATTTAAACTAAATCAAAATTTTTACGACGTGAGTACATTGTTCTGTCAAGTAACTGCTAAATATGAATCTCACATTTTACAAACACCATTGATTCAAAATATTAGAGATTTTCATTTATACTAATAACTTGGTGTACCATTTCGATATTGGGTACTTTCTTTAAAAATAGTTTAATTTTTTTTAGAGTAATTTAATATCTGAATACATGGTTGATCGTACTAAGTATCTGTTTTGATTAAACTTGATTTGAAATGAATTCAGTTGTAAAAATCAAAAGTCGAAAATTCTAGTGAATTAATTACAATTGATTGATCATTGGGTGGTGACCATTGTCATGGATGTCAAGTCCTTCTTAGTGCAAATCGAATGCTATCGACCAAGTTGAAATGTGGCCACTAGTCTAGGTGACTCGACATTGCGTGCACTATGTTGAGATAAGATGGTGGTTGGAGGTAGTCGACAGGAAACCCTGGATACGAGTTTCGTGCTACTTGGTACTCGTCATCAAGGTGTGCCTGTAATCTTGAGGGAACTGGTGCTCCCTGAAGGATTCGATCCCGTGTTAACCAGCTTCACATTCAGAGACGTTACCACTGGGCTATCTGGGCCGCGACCGACTTCCTATAGGACTGAGATGCAATTCCTTCTAGTGAATTAATAAATAGTTCAACGTTTAACATATTGCCTCAATTACTTTCCTTCTATATTCATTATGTAATCAGATATATTAGAAATTAATATTGATTCTATTCAGTTTCAACTGATTTCTTTATAAAACTTAGTAAAAATAAATGTAATAGAAACAGTTCACAAGCACAGTATGAATCACATTGTAGAAATGTTCGACTTCTTTTGATTAGTGATAAATTGAATCCAGTTAGATAATCAAATCTTAATTGACTGAAATGGTTGGGCCACATGTTACGCGCAATGCTGACCAGTGTTGAGGACGGTTGGAAAAAAGTTATGGATGATCAAAGTCACTAACTTCTGGTCTGAGCCGTGTTGGTAGATGCAAATTGTTTGGTTGGGGTCCACGTGACTATCGCAACCAATGGCTGGAGACTATGTGTGACGTGGCTCAGAATCGGTCACAACGGCTTCGGTGTACACGCTCTTTGCCTTCCCTCAAACTGTGAGATTAAAATTATCTTATCCCCTTCTTCCTGCGGACTGATTCTTTCTTCCTGTATTACATACTTATATGCAATCTTCCTTTTATAGATTACCACCATTGAAGTAACTACTTGAATGAATTTGGTATTCATTTTGTTGTGCTAATTAGCTGTTGCATCTTGGACCGATGTATATATGTGTCTGATACTACGTTGTAGCTGAATGACTGACTGATTAAAAGACAAACTGTTAATCCAGTTTGATCAGTCATCTATTTTACTGTCTTTTTTCAAAAATCAACCTAAAATGGTATAAGTAATTATTCTTTCCTAGTAAATGATGTAAAGAATGTTGATTGTGACTTCCAATAAAACTAAACACATTATATAACAATAGGTGATGAATTATTCGCATTAAACAACAAAGCCGTTTATTTCTATATGTATATTTTCATAACACTTACTACATAGTAGTAGTTATATCTCTGCCATTATTCTCAAAAACTTAATTCTATCGATATTTCATCGTTCACTTTGTGATGTGGCTACTGGTCTAAGTGATTTCACAACGCATACATTGTGATGAAATATTATCATTATTATTAGTGGCTTTATTCAATATTATATTTTTGGTACAATACAGGATTCTCAGCACAAATTATTTCAACAATTTTCCTTTGCTAATTTCTTCATCGATTCTGACGATAAATATTGAGTGATTGTCAGTTAGATGCTAGCAATCGAGAACTCAATAACGTTCATTCTTTTCAATGCCTATTGTCAGCCACCACTACGTCTTGTACATCGAAAGATCGTAGAATTTTAATAAACACTTCCGCATAAGTTATGCGATTAATAGACATAATGATGTGTTAATATAAACAAAAACTGATAACTTGTTAAAATATGTAGATGGCAGGAACAGGTACTCCAGAAATCCATGCAGGCCGCCAAATTTAATTGAAAGTAGTTGACAGGACACTCGGAACTTAAATTTTGTGTTATATAGCTTTCACCTAGATTCAAGGTTTACAGTTTACTACCCTCAATGACTTAACATCTCAAACAAGAAGAGAATTTATTTTTTACTGTCAGTAAAGAGTCCTAAAACTTTTTGTTTTTAATTTGTACTCTGAAAGATGATCCAGTATAGATCTAAGAAAATAGTCTACAAATTTAAATTAGTTGATGGGGATTCCATATAGTAAGAACTTCTACATTGTAAATAAATACATGACTTATATGTGCATGTGGACTGAATACATACCTTCATTCAAACTATTTAAACTCATATTTTTCTTATCTCATGACTTTTAAATGATGAGATGATCAAATATTGAATAACCTCTTTCTAAGTATCATAAGTAAAACATGAAGATAAAATTGATATTTCTCAACAACTTGATAATGTCATAAATAGATATCTGTCTTGTCTTCATGAATTTGATTATCCTCTTCTGTCAACTATAATAAGATTATATATTATTATTATCTTATTTGTACTTCATTGGAAGATGAGTTATCAACTTCATTTACACTATCTATTTCTTTCTCTTTATGTCATTATCGATATTATCTAGTTGACACTTTTCAAATCAATGATAGTCAGATTTATTAGTTTCTGTAATATAGTAACCGATATTGGTTTAGGAATTATAAGGAAAAATAGTTTGTCATTACAGTTCATATAATGATTAATTCTTTTCTCCAAAATGTTAACATAAATTAAATGAAATAAATTTAGTTTCATACAGATGACAGCGAATAAGAAGGTTTATATAAGATACAAATAATCAGTTTTTTACATTATGAATAATATTGATTAAAGGTGTTCTAGAGTTATTCTATATAAGTTTGAGCTTACATTGATGGGAAGTAGTTACCATCATGAGCATTAAAAGCCGTCCTCCAAGTGATTTCAACTATTAATTAAATAATAAGTAGTAATTCAGTATTCTAACTATTAGCTAAATGTATATGTTATATTGTTGATGAGATCAACCTTTAACTTGTAATATCCTGAGCTACTTTATCATAATTTAGTTAGTGTATACAGTATAACAACTTAATAAACAGTTTGTGATGCATAGTATAAACGACTTTTTCACCGTATCTTATTATCTTTTTGATAGTTTAATAAGTTAGACTAACTTATTTAAGCAATCAATTATACCGTCTTTGAACTATATTCGAACAGTTCACTACCAGTTTACGGGTCAATAATTTCTAAAAACTCATGTCACAATTTCTTTTTGAATACTAAATAACTATATAAATAACATTTTTGAAATCAAAAGTTCTAGTAGTAATCACACAAAATATTTCTAGTCAGTCAGTCAGTTACAACGTAGAAATTGTATGTATGTACAAGTTGCCATACCCAATTAGCACAGAGCGATGAAGTTTGCAAATCATATCCTAGAGTAGCCGAGGCAATAACGGTATCAGTGGTAATAGGAAAGATTAGATATTGAAGATACGACTCGAAATGAAAAAATAAATTAGCGAAATAGGAACAATATAGTTATGAGGGATTTAGCATCTTTAACCATAAAATAACCAATTCCACTTAAACATGTATGTCATAAACATTGGAATTTCGTATATTAAAGTCTAATGTGAAACAAATCTATTGAAATTTCTTGTAAGTTATAACTTACTCCACGTCTGCGTTTTCTATCTGTTCCAGAAGTGTATGGAGAACTAGAATTTAAAAAAAAATTAAAATAGTTTGATAATAAATTGAAACATCTATTCAATAAACATGATTCTAATAAAGATGAATAGCTGGTAACAGTTCTATTTAGAACTAGTCAGTCGGATGTGCCTGGATCTCGATATTGATTTTCATTCCGCAATCTGAACCCAGTATCTTCCACTGAGCTCTTGACTTCAAATAGCCACTAGTATACGCAGTGAGAATGAATTCTATTATGCTTGTTTAAATATTGTTGATGTTAATAATTGAATTTTGATCACTATCCTTCATCACTTGTAACTTAATGATTATAATCAGTTTATTCTCTATTATAATAAATACATTTGAATTTATCTGTTGAATTAAATCATTAAATTTATTTCACTAACTATTAAGGTTGAGTAGCTTAATATCATTTACACATAGAGAGGTTGTGAGAACTGAAAATCCTTTATTTCTACCTGTTACGATATACACTAAATTAAGGAACTGATTAGTTCAAACAATTACACTTTTAACCAGCTTCAAGAAAGAATTCATTTGATTACATTTAACAGAAACAATCGTCAATTACTACTATTAATAAATTATGTATATATGTCGCCAAGATCTTAATCTCGTCATCCAAAACTTATCAATAGTTCCAACTGGATAATGATGAGTTGACTGCTTTTGGCGAGACTATAATTTATGGACGAACCAATCAGGTTTGAGATAGCAGATCTGGGATTTGGCACGAAATTTATTCACTTATTTGGTTAAATACCATTTTGGCATTATATCATATGTCAGTTCTTGATGAAAACATTAAATCTAATTCCTAACCCTAACGTTCAACTGTAAATTTCAATCCTTATTCCTTACACTAATATATATAACCCTTATTTAACCCCAATAATAGGTGAACATTCAAAGGTCATTTTAGCGTTTATCAAAGGTCATAAATTATAGTTTCATCGTTTAAGGAGATAAATAGCTTAACCATACATTACAAAACCCTGTGACTTAAAAGCAAGTACATGAAAATACACTTAGTTACCAAGTTTGCAAACTTTTTTCATCTTTATACATTAACACTGTATCTATCAAATGCTGAGCTTTACTTTAATTTACAATTAACAGATTTCTTATTTTTGATTAATGTGATCACTCACTGTGTAATTTCCAGAATGGATAATAATGATTTAAAAACAGAGTGTGAATAGTAAGCTGTCAAAATAGGAAATAACTTCATTCTATTTTATAGCCGAAAACAATCATAATAGAAGGGATAAAACCAAAGAAATTCCATAAATAAACATAGTTAAGTTTGATGCGTATTTATATTTTTAGTAATAAGCGTAATGAAGATAAAATAGGATTATAATATGTTAAACCGTTGCTTATTATTGTATTTATAAGTATGATTTCAGACTTCTTGCGGCCGATGAGAAACTGTGAAATAGAAGCAATTCAACATATACGTTGATCTGCTTAATTTATCAAAGGATCTGGTTGGATGAAATAATGAAAGTACCGAGTTCTCTATAATCTAAATAATCGTTGTTCAATTGTCATCAGTTATATGTAATAAAAAGCAATGAATGGATTGATTTCAAAAAACACAACAAAAAAACTTTATTAGCGCTTATGATTTTGAATATAACTTCAAAAGAAACATTATTATTAATTGATTGTTGACTGGTATTCATTATCATGTTTCCTTGGTCACTGATAATCAAGAAATAGTATCAATAATCTAGTATCACAATACAATGTGTTAAATATTAGATAATTGAAATCAAATGAGAAGAAAGTAGCTGAAGTCTTTTAGGAAATTAAGATTGTCTATGAGATTTGAAGTTAGAGATACCATTTTTAATGAGATCCTCAGGTTATGAAAAGCCATAGATAAGACTACTTAAACTCAGTCTTATAAAAATAGTATCTGGGATACATTGCTTTTTGCATTATCAATATATACTTTAGAAATCCGCATCTTTTTATGAGAATTATTCCAATTTGATGAGTTTATTTTGTTAAAAATAAATCATTTTTACAAAACTTTTATTGAAAATAGGATTTAATCAGTAGTGTTAACATTTATATGACTTATTTTTTATTATTATATAAATGTCCACACCTTCATGATTTCCCTTACTTGATTAATTGCATCATGCAAACAGTTTTCACACATTTGAGGTTAATTTAGTTGCTAATCTAACAAAATCTATATGGGTTACAGTATGGTTCAAATAATTATATGATTTATGAAAAGAATATGATATGATAGTAGGGATCGTTGAAGTTGACGTTATGAAAGGTCAAGAGACTTCTGTGTATTGTTATAATAGTCAGTTAGATTAACACAACAGTTTTGATCATTGTTATTCTTTGTTTTCAAGTACTGGCTTGAAAATACCTGCTATTAATTTTGGTGAAATGAGTAGAACGATGAGTGAGTAGTTAAAGCAGTAGGCTTTCAACTATTCGATTGCAGGTTGAAACTCAGTCACATCTAGGCTTTCACAAATAGTATAACCCAAAGCTAAGTATATGAAACCTACGTTATATAAAAGAAGGCAATAGCAGTAGCATAATTCGTAATAAGCACTTATCTCGAATTGTAATTACTCTGATAAAGTGTTAATAAGGCAATACGGTTCTCGAAAAAACTACTAGTAACCCGAACTGATGAGTCCTAAATTAAGTTAAACACATACAATCAATTTCATTAATATTCATTTATTGTAATAATAACTTTAATTGGGACTACTTACATCAAGCAGGCAATACAAAATGTTCTCTTATCTTCAGCTATGAGTTCAATATGTTGAGATAAAAACAACATAAATCATAAGAAATAACTTAAACAACATTTGGGAAAATCTATGTGTTTCATCTATTTGCCATTATTATTCTTTGAAATATTTGAAATCCCAGAAAAAAATACAGTACCAACTATAAACGAAAATTTGAACAAACCATTCTTAAGACATTTTGTACAATACTCGCATACGCACATACATTTATGTAAACTCGATTAATTATGTCTCAAAAAGATTTTCCTAACAACATTTCTGTTAAATCCAATTACTTAAAACAAACATTTAATGATTTTACCATACTTTACATAGAAATAATTGGGCATAGACCTACAAATATGCACAGAAATAAACTTAAGTTGATCTAAGGGATATTTTGTAAGTGGTTCACTTTTAATGAGTATAATGTACACATCACTTTATTGATTCAACAGACATGGAATTATGTAAATAGATGATGAATAGGTCATATTTTTTTAAAAGTCAGTTGAATATTCAAAACAAGATAAACAACAATGATGACAATGATTCCACTACTAATTAGTTCGGAAATCACTTCTATATTTTGCACGTAATTAAGCATATTTTAATAAAATTGTAATTCAAATACTATTTTTTCTAAATGAATTTAATTACGACTGACCTGAAATTATAATCTCTATTCAATGTAGAAGAAAATAAGTCATTCCTAGTACACACACACACACATACACAGATCAACATTTCCACTTACCACACCCCTCCACCACCAGCACATACGGAAATCTATACCAAAACAAGTGTAACCAGTATTTAGAAAAAGATTTATAATTTATTGCCTTTATAAAACAAGTTACCTATTTCATTGTGTCTATTCACATAAATAAAGTTCCTTGAAAAGTAATCAAAATAGAAAATACACCTTTTCATTTAATTGCAACCTTTATTTCTGTATACTTCAATAAGAGGAAAGCGATCTGTTTGGTATGAGACATTAGATGACTGTTACTATTTTATACCATAACATTGTAGCAAACTACAGGACACATTTTTATTTACTGGACGAAAGAATTAAGGTTGTCAGATAGGATGTAAATCAATTCACAACTAATTGAATATATAGTCTTTGTAAAAAGTTTCTGATTATAACCATAGTGATATTGTAGAATCATTTCCGTTGCAGTGAAAATCTTATCTGTTCAACCCTTACATATAGACCTTTTAAGTTGGAGATGTCTTCTTCAACTATATGAGTGAACCAGTTGAGATTTCTTAAGAAAAATAATTCTGATGAACAATATCAAATAAACGATGGTTGTTCTATATATTAATGTATAAAGCCTCAGATGTAGGACTACTATTCAATAGTTTTACACCAACTGTTAAATACATAATTATGTAAGATTTCTCTATACGTTTAATTATACCTTTACTCCAATTTTTATTGTTCCTAAGACTAATCATAATAAAAATCGTGAAACAGATGTCGCACTAAGGAAATCAATTTTATTGACAACAATTTTCAATGAATATTGCATCACCATATAATTATTACATAACAAGTTCCTTTCTTATATTTTACTTGTAAATATCGTTCATATTAGTTTATTATTTAGTTACTTAGTGTAATTTTATATTGTCAAAATTACTTAATGATTAACAATGAACGTTTTATTTAAAATAAATGATGATGTAATTTGGTTACCAAATCATTCATAATTTTTATTTTGATTAAACGTATATATATAAATAGTCCCATATATACGATGAGCCACTTCGTTAGTGAATCTAAACTGGTGAACAATTAATCATTATCATATACTCAAAATATTAGAAAATCAATAAATCGACCGTTAAATTACCGGTGTATTGATCAGTAGTCAGTGTCGTATTACCATTCGTTTGTAAAATTTCTTTTCGACAGAAGCATAAAACATATCTTAGTGAAAATACAATCACATATATTTTTTTTCTAAAACTAATTCATATCCATAAAATAAACACAGAATGAATAAGTTTGAGTTTGTGTCAAATATTATTAGGAGATGGGGAATCTGTTGAAAAAACTGTGAATTTTCATTGATTTATGAACTAACACATATTTCAATGGTTGGGCTCATGAGTCATTTGAAGCTAGATCACCATGAAAAACCTGGAAGCACTGGATGGTCGTTTCGTCCTATAGTATGACTCCTCAACAGTGCACATCCACAATCCCAGTATATATCCTAATACATATTGAATATTGAATTACACTATTTCATTTCATAAGACAACAGTTAGAAGTTTCCCTAATAAAGTATTTTTATTCAATTGGATAATTATGATTAGGGTTAAACTTGCGCTGGAGAATCATTGTAAACCAAAAAACACCTAAAATTGCTTCATTTTAATTGAAGATTCTTTCACAGAATTCACTCACGATACCATTATAAACTGATTACATATGTTTAATAAATACTTTAAAATGATTGTTCATTGCTACCTGTTTTTTTAATTGGTTTCGACAACCAGTTAAAAATGTAGTCATACTGAAAAATCTACACATAATTCTTGTCTTATTAATGAATAGATAGCTAAAGAGATTCATGTATAATTGCTTCATTATTTAACAATGAATCCTTGTTTCACTTATTAAATCTATATTGGAAGTTATGTAAAACATAACCGTTGTTGATAAGTGCTATGCATTCATATAGAATCAAAATGAGTCGAGGATTTTTAATTATTCCATACTATTGTTATTATTATCGTTATAATTATTAATACTGTACAAAACAATTGTGATAGGATTATTTTATTCACTTATGTTTTGACAGTCGAGTAATATGAAAATAAATGTATTATGATTAATAGTGCATTCCAGAAAGTGTATTTTTCATCTGTTATGGAACTTTTCACCAGGTTGTTATCGTATCTATTTAAATGTTCACACTTGAACTTGAATTTGTCACTTTTCATCCATTAAGTTAGAAAAAAAATCCAGATATCCACAAATTTGTTCATAGTTTATAGTGCTTTCCAGTAATATTGTTTAGCAGTATATAATGTGAGGCTCGGAACATTTTCTGATCTTAAACTGATTGTACATTATTCGGATTTGAAAAGTAAAATATTGATTTCTGTTTTATTCAAATGAATTTTCCTACTTGATTTTGATGAAAAATGTATATCTAATCGTTTTTTCAAGGAACTTCGGACTTGAAAAAACAGTTGGGTAGTATTAATAATAAAGTCGTTCGTCACTGAATTAACATAATATTAGTAGCGGACAACCACCCCCGCCCTGGCGTAGAACTCCTATACCGTGCTTACTTACAATATCACCAGGTATCGAACTCTAAGATTTCAGGTATCATGAATAATACATGACCATTCAGATCACTAATTCAACCTCAACTTTAATCACAATTTCATCTTTAGACGCCGATCCACTGGTTTTAACAATTAAGCGTTCTCTAGGATGGATAAATGTCCTGGATTCAATACATGGTTAGGTTACGGATGCTCATTGTTAAAGAGTGTGATTCTAGGACAAGACAATACCCCCCGAATTCAGTGATATACTAACTGGGATTAGCCTGTTACGAATACGATCTACTCGATGAACCAATTTTCACAAAATCACTGCAATTAAATCAGAGTAAAATCTTATAAACAGATTATAGAATGATCTCAATTTACTTTGAGGTCAGTATATCAACTGAAAGACGAAAGAATGACTTTTGTTGCGAAAGTAACGAGTTTTCAACTCCCTTAGGAATAAGCATTATGATCCACCCCCTTTTATATCTTTTAACTGTAGTTATCGTTACATTTCAGTTTGATCTAGTTGCTATGTTGAGGAGACGTTTTGATGCCTTACGCAACAAGTTATAATTTTTCTCCACCATTATTAATCTTCGATTGTTTAACTTTTAATATGTCGTGAATTGTGAATGTTACATAACGAGTTTTTTAGTGGAACTGTTAATTTTAATGTTTATTCTCAAATATTTACTCAAGTCGGTAAATTAGGTCATCTCCTACTTAGAGGTCTAAGTACTGAATTTCGAGTATTACTTTTGGGCTATAAAGGTTGATGATGATATTTGAACCTGAGACTTAATATATGAAACTTGAACCACCTTAGCCACTAACCTATCATACTACGGGTAGTAAGTTTGGTGTGAGTGAAATACAAATAGTTCATACTATTTTAATAAAAATACTTATTCATTACAAACTGACTGCAGTCGGGGTACCTTTAAAAACTAAGGGACAGTGGACTACAGTTTTGTCATAGTATAAGGATCCTGATCAGTATGAATCTATAACTTCTCTAAGGATTATACCACAACGAACTCAAACTATTGATACTACAATTGAGCTGGAATACTGTGGTCCAGATCTTTAATTTCAATACACTCTCCATACATCGCGAAAATCATCTAGTGTTGTCGATAGAACGTGTCTCATGTCAAACATGGTTGAATTCTATTACTTACTACTATTTATGAATCCTAACAAGAAAATATGGGATTGTTTAAAAAATAAGTTACTATTCATTAGGGATTCGTTTAATTTGAAAGTAATGCTTGTCAGGAATCCAAAATACATGATCTAAAGACCCTTGGCTATATTCCTAGAGAAGGTGTGTGCGCTCTTCGCTAGGAAGTTTCATCTGGGAGAAAATAGCTGTACATAGAACTCAAGTTTCTTTAATGAAGTCAATAAGTGACGTATCCATGAAATATAACAACGAAAATGTCCTTAATAATATTTTACCAAAATAATTTTAAAAGATATTTCTATATTTTATATTTCACACATATTGTACTAAGACATTAAAGATATAATCAAGTAAATTAGATGTGTTTTTATTATTTATGACATTTTCATTTGCGATGGTGGAGAAGATTTGTAGCTCAGGTGGATGACTTTGGTGAAGTTTGTACTAATGATGTGATTCAGAAGAACGATGAAAGCTCCACAACCAAACCATTTAGCTCAGAGAATAAAACTCCACCAAAAAATTTCATTTGCAAACGTTTTTAAACTAATTTCGATTATTATCAGAAGGAGATTTTAATAATTTAATAGTTGAATCCATGAGTCAATTAAAGCTAAACTACAATGAAAAACCTGAACGGCCATCCAGTGATTCTAGGTTTTCCATGGTGGTCTAGCTTTAAATCATTCACGAATTCAACTATTAATTTCAATCAATAAATTTCTAAATAATTAACATCGGATAACTGCTACTCATATAGAACCTACAAAAAACCAAATAACTGATAAACATAGTCTTATATACATTTATGTCTAATAAAATGATAACTAATGATCTTTTCTTGTCACATGTATTGTTCATATTAATAATTGTTTTCTAACATTATTGAGAAAACCAAGCAGTTGAGTGTCCTATTCAATTTGTTACTAACGGAATCCAGGTGTAGTTATTGTTTGCTTCTAATGAAGTTTTCTACTTTTATAATATTTAAAGACTATAAATATATATAAGATAGCTAGATACTTAATTTAATTATTGGCTAAAATAATTTAGTCTTAATCTAATTCACTTCAATAATCTTCTTGTTTAAGTGAAATAATGTTTCAGCAATTAGAAAACTCAAAATTCAACCTATATGTTATGAATTAAAACCTTGGTTTTCATACTTATTTTGGGGCATCCAGGTAACACCAATATCCCTTATAGTAAGTTTAACGTTAAAGAGAGACGCATCAACCTATTGTAGTTACTGATTTAATTTAAAATCAACAAATAACTCATCGTTTCGTGACTTCAATGAATTTTAACAATTTGTATAATTCCATGCTGACAGATATAGGCAGTTACTAGTGACAGCTTCAAGAGGAAGTTTCCAAAGATTTAATGAGAAGCAATGAACAGTGGAGCCCAACGGCGTTTGATATGGGTAAGGTACCCACCACGGACAATGAAAGATAATTGTGCAATATTGTGAGCTGGATAAAGTTAAATTTGTACACTTAAATATCTATAAACCAGATCCTTAGGCAAATTTTATGTGATACTATCTAGTCTTTAGATCTTAGTTAAACTGGTTTCCGTAACCTAAACATTACTAATCAGTTAGTGAAACCGGTGAAATACTTTACGTTTAACTTAACGTTTGAAATCATTTTTTTAATAAAGGCAACATATTTAAAATACTCTGAAGGAAAATTTACATGAGACTTGTACCAAAAATGATCGACACCGAAAAACTTTAAGATTATTGACAAACAAGTAGAAATTTTTTAAAACTTACCCTGGATCATCACCACCAAAATCATCTATAGAATCCTCAGTAATATTATTAGTAGTAGTAGTATTTCTTCCTTTAACCATGTTTTAATAAACTATATAATTTCCTCTTAGAATAGGTAAATTTCTTCAAAAGTCATGCAATTATAATGTTTTGCTTGAATAGTAATCTATAATCTAGTTTCAATACGAATGACCATATATATACATATATAATATTGGGTATAATAGGCTGATGTTTAAGGGGAGTAAATTACATTTATTGGAGAAATATTCTTTTTTCCGATTGGTCATATCGCTTAGTGTTAGATAACCAATCACATTTTAGTTGGGCTAAAGGATAAGGAAAGGGGAAGAGATTTTCTAATTTTTCAAATACACCAAAAAACAATGAACTTGTCATGAAGAAAGAAAACTTGCTGCAGTTAAAATGTCCCACCACCTTTGTCTAATAGTCTCTCAATCCATAAAGAACATTGATATTATATTGGTTAACTGATATTTATACCTCTTCATATTTTATGCGTTGACATTAAGGAAGATATTTTTCTTCCGCGAAATATATGAATATTAAATAAAGAGATCGCCGAACTGTTTTTCAAACAACTAGATTTGGATAGGTATTTTATTTGGAGAATCATAAAATTTATCATTACATTATGCCACATACTGGCAATACTTTCTCCTGAGTGCAGATAAATTTTATATCAGGACATTCGAAATTCACCAAATAATTGTGCAATAATCCAGATTTATAAATGTAAATATTAACCAAATCTCTGTATTTAAATTATGATTTCTATGGTATATTGTTTTATCACCCGAATAACAAATAGGCATAATTATAATAATAAATACCTCTACAATTTCTATTGGTAAACAGTACGTTGTTTACATGTGATTAAAAAAGTTGCCTTATTCATTCTACCCTGAAATTGATGACTATCAATTACAGTAAAGCCCATGGTGTTAATTACTATGTCTCTTTATTACTGTTCCTAAAATAAAGAAGTAGTGACCAGTGGAATTCAACCAGGTCTGTTGTGAGATAGTAACTCACTAAAGATAATGGTGGATGTGTCGCTCAATTTCGTGGATTAGTTGAAGTTAGACATTAACACCGTTGGATGCCGGCTCAGTGGTCTAGTGGTTAAGTGCTCGCGCGCGGAACCAGTAGGTCCTGGGTTCGAATCTCGCAGGGGGCGAGGTCCTGTGTGCCCACTGCTGAGGAATCCCACACTAGGACGGAACGGCCGTCCAGTGCTTTCAGGTTTCCTGTGGTGGTCTAGCTTCAACTGACTCATGATCTTAACCATTGAAATTAATAAATAAACTTATTATAAATCAGTTAGAAAAATTTCAAAAATGAGATCTGGTGTGTAATTACAACCGAACTGTTCTATAAAATCAGTTCTTTATGTAATATGAGAATATAATGGAAACATGATTGATTAGTTGATATTTATTGATTTAGCAGTGAAATGAAAATCATCCATATACATATTATTTTACAAGATGAATTTATTAAGACAGTTATTAAAGCATTCAGTATTTTGTTAGTAATACTTACTAGGAGCGGCAACTACAAATGCTTATTTCCCAAATCAATCTTATTTATTTCCTTCCTCTTTTCAGATTGGTTATCACTATTTTCAGTTAGTTGATTTCCTGTGTACTTGAAGATTATACTTTCGTTAGTTTATGCACTATGTTGTATGATTTCACATTGTTTCTGTTCGTTCTACTTGAATAGCAAGTTTTTACTACATTTTGTATCCTTCCAATGTTCACAATTAATCGTTAGTGTCATGTGTCAGCTACCGTTATCTGGTTCAAAACACAGAACTATTCGTATGAGAATATCTCATTTGTTCCTTAATTTGTAATTATCGTACGCCAACCCGAAAACTTGATAAACATAACTGTCCTTGGCAAGATATAGACAATAATCAAAATCGAAAGTAAAGAAAACTCTACTTCACCGAGTAACAAACTAAGATATCCCTTCCCTGTTTAGTTATTTCACAATCAGAAATTTAATGATTTTACCAACGTTTCCAGAGAATATTTGCATACTAACCCCAGTTTTTAATCTATAAGTAAACCTTACTGTATGATAATCTTATTGAAATTATAGAAATTTTTAGAATATAGAGTAAGTGAATTATCATTTTATAAATAATCGAAAAGAGTTACAACATCTGTGTTCCAATAAATGTATATCTTTGAGCTTTCATGATATAATCAGTGAAATCCTAAAGTTCAATTTTATTTTCCTTAAATGTTTCATTGTCTCTAATAAAGAATTCAATGAAATGATCAATGACCGTTTTAAAAGACTTATCGATTTATCAGTCTGTATTATCATTGCAATTTATACTAACTAGCTAAAACAAAGTACATAGTACTAATCAATCATTCAGTAGTTAACATTATTGTACTGTTTAATTTCTAGTATTGATCACATTTCACGCTTGTTACCCGTGGTGGAGGAGCACAGGCCATCAAGCGACATTCTCTGTTCAACTCTATCATGGACAATCCCTTCTTTTGGTGCCTGCTTCGTATTCTCGATGCAGCGTGTTCTTTGATTTTCCTCTTTTCCGTTTACATTCACGATTCCAAGTTAGTGCTTGCTTCGTGATGCAGTTTGATGATTTCCTTAATGCATATCCTATGCTTTTCCAACGTCTTTTCTTAATTTTTCCTCTTCAACCCGAAGCTGGTTTGGTCTCTTCCACAGTAGGCTGCTTCTGATAATGTGACCTTAAGGCTAATAAATTTTTTCTTTGATTATAGATGGTTAGTGACAATCAATACAAATTCATGGATCTAGTTTTTATACTAGTTGACATTCATCAGTAAGAAACATCTTGAACCAAATGATGCTCTCCCTAGTGAGTTGACTTCATATGACCCGGTGAGATCATCAGAGATTTTGGTAATGACCTACGATGGTCATTTTGTATAACCGTAATGACTACTTCTATAAATTAAGGACTAATAATCAATGTTATATTGCCCAATACTTAGTTTAAATAAGTTATTTGCTATCGTTTAAACAATCATTATATTTCTATATTCTAAACTTACTTTATCTAATAATTTATCTTTCTAACATAAATCAGTTTGTGGATCAATGAATACCTCGAAATCAGAACCTTCGGTCTCTCGCGCACACACTTAACCTCTAGACCACTGAACAGGCGTCTAACAGTGTTAATGTCTAATTTCAACCAATCTATGATATTGCGCGACCATCTCCCATTGTCTTCAATGGGTAACTGCCTCACACCCGACACGGATTAATTCCACTGATCATGGCTTCTCTCTAGAACTCCGAAAATTACCTCACGAAGCTAACCGCTAGTGAACACATGGTTCGAATCCCGCGTGCGGGATCATAGATGCTAGAACAAACCGGCCATCTAGTGCTTCCAGGTTTTAAATGGTGGCCTAACACTGATCAGTTCGTGATTTCAATAAATAGATTCACCATAGTCAGATCTTTCTCTCCTTTATTATGTATATATTATATGTCATGTTATCTGTATGGAAAAACACAATGGTTCTTTCGCTTATATTTTTTACTATTACGTCATTCATTTTGATCGAATTACTATTATTTTGAAAATATGTTATCTCTATTGTGGATAGAAAATTTTTAGTAACATTGATAATCCTAAATCATATAACAATAAATATATTCTATCTATCACTATATTTTTCCAATCAACTTATTTTTTACAATAAAGAGAACAAGTTTTTCATGAGATAAGCTAATATAATGAGAGAATATCAAGGGGATGAAAGACAATAAATTTCAAATGGCCAAAGTTGATCACATCTATCTACGTATTAAATGTATAGTTAGCTTTTGATTATTATTATTATTATTATTATTATTATTATTATTATTATTATTATTATTTCATTAGTAATATAAATATCTCCAAGCGAAAGGTCACGTGACACGTTTGTAAACAAACGCAATCAAATTGATAATGATTATTTATTTTAACTTATAATAGTTATGCATTAAAACAAACAAATTTTCAATAATATTGAACATTGATTTAGATGTTAACTTTGGGTTAATTTCTGTACCAATCAACTGATGAAATTCCCATTTTGAAAATTAATGTTAGTTTGTAAATTATTGTGAATAATCTGTCATGTATGTTAGGAGGATTGAATGATTATGAACTGAAAATAAGCCAGTTAATAAAATGATCAAATTATATTGACGAGATTTTAAATATATATGCACTATATTGTTCTCTGATAAACCATAATTGTAACGATCGAAATCTCAGTATTTGATCTGAAAACAAAACTAACGAACTAATGTTTATTCGATTAGGTCAAACTATGTTCTTCTTTATATAATACGAATTGTTTTTGAGTAACTCGTATTAAAATATATCAAAGCACAAACTCTGTGTTCAGTTTAAGCAGTTCTAAATTAAGATAGAAAATAAATAATATCAAAAGTACTAAACACCTCAAACGGTACACCCTGTGCTGACAATCAATAAAAAATATTTCCAAAAAAAGATGGGATCAGATATCTATCTGCAAAAAATGCACTAACTTTTCCAAGCAGACAGTCAAAGGTTGACAATTATATACTGAACCACGCCATGACCTTGGGTTCAGTCAAACAACCTTATTTTTAATAGTCCGGTAACATACAACAGTAAGATGAAGTAATTAAACGTAAATCTTTAAAGAGAGCAAGAACAAACGTTGGTGCAGAATAATATGAATTCATTTTATTTCATTAGGTTCTCATCAGCTGCTTACAACCTAAAAAATATGAAATTCAAAGTTATTATAGATATTGACATACTTATACATCAGAGGGTGATGAAGGATGAATATATGTAATATGATGTAGCAAAGATTTCGTTAGAGTTAGTGAGGTCATAAAATTTTTGTTTCGAATATATAGAGTTTGGGAGGGAAGGTTCCAGAACATTGAAATAGTGATTAGAAATCATGGAATTAAAACACATTAGATTATTATGCAATTAAATAACTGAAAATAGATTAGTGGTAATAAAGAGAGATATGAATTGAAATTGGTCAGTTATGAATGATGTAATTATAAAATTCAGAAAGAGTTGGAATGACGTAATAAATAAAATAAAAATAAAAAAGGGGGGTAATGTTACCAGGGCAAAGAAAGATTTATTACTGTTTCCTTTTGTATACAAAAATCTGGTTTTAAACGTTTGATTGCTATCGCTTCGGCAAATTTCAAAAGTTTTGAATTTGATTGTTTGTTGATCACCTTGAAGGACTTCAGCATATCGACTTCGTGTCCTGTGTCAAGGAGATGTCTTGCAATGGCACTGCTGAATGCTTTTTGTCCGTTTGATCTCAAACCCTTCGGAATATGTTCTTTGAATCGGACGTAGGCTCTCCTTTCTGTTCTACCAATGTAACTGCTTTGGCAGATACATGTAAATGTGTATACACAGTTGGTGGTAACATGAAAGGGATACCTGTCGACCTTTGATTGTGTCAAGGAACATGTTATTTTGGACAGGACAATCAATTTAGCTGCAGGATATGTTTTTGTCAATGCAGTTTTTAGTCTCATATTGCTTGACCCTGTGACATTATCACCTTTGAATTTGAATTGAAGAAAAACAGGTTTTTTTATTTACTGTAGTTTCTTTAGGTATTTTATCTCCACGTTTTCCATATTTCTCAATAAATTTCAATGGGTATCTATTATTCCTTAAACACTTTTTAACATTCATAACTTCCTCTTGTATTGTATCGGTAGTACATATTCTTTCTGTTCTGTGAAACAATGTTTTGACAAGTGCCTTTTTATAATTGATTGGACAAAAGCTGTTGAAATTGAGATAACTATCATTCCATGTGTCTTTCTTATAAACTGAGTGTTGAAATGTACCATCCTTTCTTCGTTTCATCGCGATATCGAGAAAATGGAACTTGTTTTCATTTTCATGTTCCATAGTGAAATGAATATTTGGATGAGCTTCATTGAAACATTTTAGCAGATTTGTTGCGTGTTGTTGATTATTACATACGATGAAGGTATCATCAACATCCTCGAATAATACATCATTTCATCAATCGTTCCTTTGAGCTTGGTTCTTTCGAGGTTAGACATGAAAATGTCTGCTAGGACAGGGCCTAACGGACTTCCCATTGCTATACCATCGGTTTGTCGGTATATAGTATTGTTGAATTGGAACTGAACATCTTTTGTACATATGAGTAATAGTCGTTTGAATTCTGTTGCTGGTAGAGGTAGGATGTCAAGATGCTGACATATTATGTCTATGGTTTCAAGAAGTGGTATTTTTGTAAACAATGATGTCACATCAAAAGAAACTATAGACTACCAGCAATGTTTATGTGATTCAAGCTGTCAGCAAACGCAAATGAATCCTTTAGTGTATAGGTGGCTAATCGTTGATGAAGTGGTTCTAATTTATCTGCCAGTCATCGTGCAACTTTGTGGTATGGTAAATCTTTAATCAAAGTCAAAAATCAAAACCAAGACAAGGAAGACTGAAGAACATAAAGTGGAGCTAAAAGAGATCTGAATCAAGGTTAGAATACATGACAGGGAAAAGGGACGAAAAAATGATAATACTGTCCAATAAAATGCTTTGGAGAGACTTTCGGTGTGTTCTTTCCGTTACACTGGCTACCCAAATCCCTCCAGCTACGTAAAGACGTCTCTGAAAAGTCAAGCACTGCTTTCCGAGCTAACTACTCTGTGTCAACTGGAAGCACAGGACTTACAACAATATGCCTGTAAAAGCCGAAGCATTCGAAAGCTTTAGTGACTGAACAACTACTCTACCTTCATCAACGTACTTATAACCGCTTTCTATGTCACTGACAGTGCCTTCTGTGATGGGCGGTGATTATATTCTACTGGTGTCATCTGTGCAAGGGATAATAATACTGGTCCCAGCATCTAGTTTATAATCAATCTCCACTTTAGCCTCTGATGAAATATTTTTATCATCCATTACAACTAAAGGGGCTATTTTCGCTATATTACGTTCAACATCGGTTTGAGGGATATGGTTTACTATATTCTGACTACGCTTTTGCGGAATGCTAAGCTCAAAAGAATCAAGTACTTTCTTTCTCTCACAATGATTATAATTGAAACCATGAGGCGATCTAAGTTAGATCACCATTAGAAACTTGGAAGCACTGGAAGACTGGTTCGTTCTAGTACGGTACTCCTCAGTAGTTCGATTCCCGGACGCGAGGTAGTGGATGGGCATTACTGAGGGGTCTCATACTATGAAGAGACGGCTATCTAGTGCTCCCAGCCTTTGAATGATTGTGTAAATTCAACTGGTTCATGACTCTAATGAAATTTAACAATCTCGACAACCCCTTACTGGAAACTATGATTATAAATAGAATGAACAGATATCAATAGCCATCTTGAGAACATATAGCAAATCACTAAATCGCATTGAGTAAAATTCGATTTACAACCAATAGAAACACAATCAATATGTTGAATATCATCCTTGAGATAGACTACATTTTTCACTGTAACTAATGATGATAATTGATAAGAATATTAACCGACATCCCATTGTAAAAGATAGCTGTTACGTTTTATATCAGGATCCGACTGTAGTCGTCATTCAATACCGTAATAGAGGTTCAGTCCAGGATATTTTGATCACGTGAAAATATGGTCCATAAGATCCCTTATCGATAGATAGCAAGGTTCTTGGTTAGATTATTGATGTATATTATTTCGGGACTATCAAAGACGAAACAACTGTCTCCTACCTCTCAGTTTTCAATGGATCTTGAATTGATGCCAATGTGTGATAATAATGTACTAAATCGAACCATTATCTACAAATATTTCACGGATTTTAATGGCTTTTGACTACTGATAAATGGTCATTACGCCATAGCTAAATTTTGGTAAACTTAACTGAATCATATTCATTTCAACTTAGTCTTTAGAAAAATCAAGAGATTAACTCAATATAATCTCTACTATCAAAATAGAAATTTGTGATTTATGGTCTATGTTGTAAGAAGTGGTTTTGATCCATTAATTTCTCTTCTTCTAAATGGCAGAACCTAATATTTGGATGAAACATGGACATTAAAAATTCTTACCATGTTTTTGACGAACCAACTATTCTGCCAATCGCCAACAAACATTTAAGAATTCATTGTCACAATGGTAAGAAACTCACAGTTTTAACTAAACTATCCAGATATTATGTAATACTTTCTGTTAACTAATGTAAATATATTCAAGGTGAAGTTTAAGTGTTTCAGATTAGATCCTTGCAAGGGTTGATAAAAATTGCTCTATTAAATGTCATAATAATAATTACGATGGTAAACTATTGTAGTTGTTTATACATACTCACTCTTTTCTAAGAAGAATTTTGCTTGATTTCAACACTACAATCAATTGAATAAACTAGATGAATTATATTTAAAAACTAAAACAAGTATTGATATGAAGTGTGGATTTATAATTTGTTGATCATTTAATCATAAATCTATGTACGTTACATTTTACTTATTTCTACCTGAAAATGTAAATAAAACTATTAGCCTATTTTTACACGTACAATAGTTTTGTTAAAATTTATCTGTCATTTAAATGAACTATTTATTATCATTAATATTTGTGTTTGTAATGTAAATTAAAACAACAAAATACAGATTGATTGTCATAACATTATGACACAGTTCATTAATATTTCGGTAGGCAGACGTAAAGAACATTGAAATATATTTAAACAGTGATTAAATCTTACTATTTAATACAATTACTACTACTACTACTACTACCCACTAGAAATATTCACATTGATAATAACAGCTATATAAAATAAACAGTGAAAATAACCAGAAGAACAACAAAGACAAAAGAAACTAGTAGGACTATAAGCTAAACAATACGATTAGCACACTTATATACATAAATAATAATAACCAATGGAGAATTTAGTAAAATAATGAAGTTTATGTTGTAAAAGTCCATCTTATTATCACTGTCGATAATATAAAACCAAGAAAAAAAAGAAGAACAAAACACAACTACAATAACAAATAATCAATAAAGAGAGAACATAAAAATAAGAACTGATGTTCAATATTCGAATCCGTTTGAATGTCGTATTGATTTTTAAGTCAAGTTCATGTTTATATGGATAGTTGATTGGTGTTGATTGGTGAATAAACTTTACCAGAATATTGAACATCTAGATTTATACTTTATTATCCGAATTCTCAAAAGTTATGAAGTAAACGTTCACTTTAAAATTTATGAATAAAAATTCTGTAAATATATATATATATATATATATATATATATATATTTTAATTATTTGAAGAAAAGAACACATATATTTACAAACATAGTGTGAGGTAGAATTCATACATAGTTTTCCTTGATTGTTCTTTAAAAGAGAAAAAGAAAAAAAAAGAAGGAACCATAATCAAACAAATGCTGTATTCATATGTTTAAATATTCACTAAACAAACTAGTTATAGTAAAAAAGAACTACTGTCCATGATTTGAGTAGTAGTATAGTTTGTGATATCCACAATGGTAAATTCTCATTAATCAACATGATAGTAACACAACATCAACAGTTGCATTAAAAGAAACACACACACACACATAACTGTAATCAATAAAAAATAGATATGAAACAAACAAATAAATGGAACTAAACGAACAACATCAAAACAGAATTTTCTTTTTTCTTCTGTTTTTACTCAACATAAAACTATAGAATAATAGTAATTTGTGTAGACTATCCATTGTCATGATAATTTTTGATCGTTTCATCACTGTATACATACTGAATGAATAATAATAAATTCTTAGTTATATATTGGAATGTAATAATAGAAATGCTAATTGTAAATTTTCTTACAATAAAACAAAGAAATCCATGTAAACTGACTTGATTATTATTATTATTATTATTATTATTATTATTATTAGAATTATGATTAAACTTTATCATTATTACTATTCATATTGGTTAATAATTCTAAATAAGCTGGAATAAATTCTGCATAATATTGACTTTCTTTTAAATAACGTAATATATGCGGTGGTAATGGTAATAAATCAATATGATCATGTCGAACATGTAATAGCAATTCAAAACGACATAAATGTACTAATGATGGAACAATTAAAAAACGTGACAATGGATGAATTAAAGAAGCTTTAATATGTGTAGTAGAGGTAGAACGGCGTGTGGATTCGAATGGTTGTGATGTATTATTATTATTATTAAATTGTTGAAGTTGCCGATGTTGGTCAGATTGATGTTGATCATTATTAATAAACTGTACACTGGTATTAATATTAATAGATGGTGAAGAGTCATCAAGAGTTGGTAAAAAATGCATACGATCTTGAAAAGAATCAACCATTACACGTTCAATACATTCAGCTACACTTGATGAAACATTGTCATTTAAATCATTTAACAGAGCCAGGCTAAATTTACCTGTAATTATAAATAAACAAATAACATAGGATAACTACTGTAATAAAATGAATATTTTAAAAATATTTTAGATAGGAAGTTTCTAAAGATTAGTAAATTTTCAGTTTACATCATAGACTAATCTTAGCTAGAAAACCGTTGGAAACTAGGAAGTATTGAACGTGCAGTAACGTGAAATGATAACGGTATGGTAGTCTAGATATTAAGAGCACACAATGAGACTGAATGTTCTGGGTCCGCCCGTTATGGCAGGGTCGTGGATGTGCACTGCTGAGAAATCCCATATTAAGATGAAACAGCTTCCCATTGATTCCTGGATCTCAATGGTTGTCTAATTAAAAGCATTCTGTGATGTAACTTGTGAAATTAGAATCTCAGTAGAATAAACAATTTCATAGTTAACATTTATATTACTGTTGATTGGTGAATAAACTTTACCAGAATATTGAACATCTAGATTTATACTTTATTATCCGAATTCTCAAAAGTTATCTGATATTGCCATGAAACCTCAGAGACTCGAAATACAGTTCTTCAGTAAGGCAGTAAAATATATTTAATTTAGTGAATTAAAATTCGATCAATACTTACCACTACAGAAAAAGACTGACTAATCGGTTGTTTGTATACATCAAACCTTGCCACAAAAGATTTATTTTGCCATGGTAATTGTAGCGTTAATACTTCAAACCATAACATTTAATGACACTTTTAAATTTGCAATGAGCCATGCCTTTTAAGACAACATATAAGACTCGTTATTCGTGTGTTGAACACAAATTTTCTGAAGTGTAAGGCTCTCCATTAGCAATATAGACAGGACCAATATCAAATACAATTTACTGTTCTTTTGGTTTAAATTTCTGTTTTTAGTTGTTGATACCACTCGAAAAGTAAGACTGTAATTAGAGTCTGCCTGTTTATGTCTGCTCGTTTATACTACTTACTAATATTTAGTAACGTATATCGTCCTCAATCATTTTTAGGCGCTTGACGATGAATCTTCCCCGTTAATGTATGGTTTTACTAAGTATTTCTACGAAAATGTGATATTTGATCTATTTACTGTTGTAATTATATTTAATTAACACCCTTAGCCGTTTGTATTCATTTCTTGTGTTTTCATTAAACATTTGGTTATTTGTAACAGTGCACATACTTGTTGAGCACATTAATCGTTTCAATTTGTTAGTTGGTGAATTGACCGAGCTACTAGTTGTTACTTAGTCAACCAAACGTTTTTTGTAAATAATTCCCATATAAATATCACAGAAGGTACTTCTTCTTTGTCCGTACCTTGATATGTGTAAATATCTTCAATAGCTCACAAATTGGCGCTTGTGAAAATGCACTGCACCATTAGTAACAATACTATGTCATAGACAAATCTTGCATTTTGATTCCAGGATTTCACAATTTCATCAATTATTTAGTCTGGAACTACTAGCAGTTCTGACATCATATAAGATGGGATAGGAAGAATATATACATAAAGTTCTCTTGATTAGATTGTAATAGGATATCTTCGAGATAATTCCTATATTTAATATATCATTCGTTCCGATAATCATTATTAAATAACTACCCGAGGTGTATAAATTCAAGAGACAGTATCAAGAGAGGACTACAGTTTGCTATCGTATAGGACAGATAACAAGACCATCAAATACACGACGAGAAAACATAAAATGAGAATGCAGGAGAATTTATAAAAGAATGGGTTTTAAGATGCACATATATATTAGAAAGCGAACGAGTTATCGAATTATTTAGTTAACTAACATCTAAGCCAGCAAGGCCTATATACGTGTGGGCTGTAATGTGTGATCATCCATAAATGATCACACAAACATGATAGCAATAACGTAAAGATATAGACAAATTGTTACCGACCGGACGACATCGTTTATTAGATAAGTTAATTAAAAAGCCTAATAGATTTAAATGCATACAAACTCAAGTATAGTTGAGAGTGTTATAAGATAAGATTTAATATGTAAGGTATTTAACAACTATTTTTATTGTACCGATTCCTACTGTTAAGATAACTTACCAGCCAGATGTTCAATCCTTGTATGATAAATTTGACCACCAGAGCGAAAACTGACACTTAAAATATATGAATCATGACTACTGTCACGTACAAGAAAAGTTCCATCTGTGCAGTTTTTTAATAGCAATTCAGCTTCATCCACTGTCAACGGACCCCAGTACCAACCAATCTTTAATAGAAAAACATTTAATGTTGTTTATTGCACTACTTATGAGTAGTATAAAAAGATTTGTAAAACGTTTGAATAAAAACTTACAAATCCAATTGAAAATTGAAGAATTCAACTTGTTTCTTATTGATAAGAAGTAAATAGTACAATATGGATGTCTAGAGAAGCGAATAATTTATTTGGTTCATGTACTTAAAATATGAATAACAGAAAATCTGTGTAAACGTCTTGAAATATAACAAAATGAAACTCGAGAATTCTTTGCTTTGTTGACTCAATTACATTTTTACGTAGCATTCATATTGGAATTAGAAAATTCCATTGAGATAAACTCATCTAGAATAAAGCAAATTCATCGATATCAATGAGAAGATACAAACTACAAACCAAATTCAGCCTGAGAGTTGGAGATTTAAATAAGACATATGAAACTTGACAAATCACAAAAGTTCTTATAGTACAAAGTGATAATAGTCGGATAGCTCCTTAAATTATTTTAATTTTACTAACTCCTTGTAGATGTCCCTAAAAACCTTTGGAATTAATCAATATAAAGTACTTGAACCAAAATTCATAAAGAATTTTCTCATTTATTGAATAAGTATGGAAAAATGGTTAAAGAGAAGAAATATTTTACTAAGCTTATTAATTTGAAATAATCCTACATATCTTTAAATGAAAAAGAAAAAACCCAGTGTATATGTACATTAGTGTAAGTTCTTAAATCGAATATAATACAAGTGATTATAAGCATTGATTAATACTTAAAAGTAATTTAAATGCGAAAACCAATTGAATTTAATTGATAATCCATTGAAGATTATAATCCACAATCACATAGTACTAAATAACTCCGCCTGTAGCTCTTATAGGGTTACTGCTGGTCCCAAGCCCGGGTAAAGGAGGAGGGTTGGGCATGGGGTTAGCGTCCCTATCCCGTAGAAAACTAACTCGCTAAAAAAACGCTTACCAGTAACATAGTACTAAATATTTTATTTTTACAGAACAATTTAATTTGGATCGTCAAATAATATCTAAACTGATAAATAAAGCGGTAATATTATCCAAAATAAAATTATCATTATTATGATCTCCCAGTTAATTAGCATCATTTCTAATATGATCATAACTGAAATTTACATCACAGCGATTAACAAAAAAACTTAGGAATACCATTATTGAGATCTTTTCTTTACTACAATCTCGAAAAAACAACCAACATTAGCCGAGTTTGCTATATCTGAATGAAGAATAAATGAATGGTAACCGCTAGGAGTTATTTGTGAATTATTATTACATAGATTCTCAGTGAATAATTACTAGGTGACTAGATCATATGTATATTCATATTCTTCTTGTCATAAGCATTCAGTTGACTTATTGGCTACTGTTATACGATTTACCCTTCTTAATTTATTACCAGTTTATTAGTTACAGTATCCCATACAACCACTTTTGACTTGATCTTATATAATATTTTTTTAAATTTTATGGTGTGATGCAGTCTGGTCGGCTTGTATATAAAGCACATATGTGAGATATACAATTCACACACTGGAGGCTGATATTTGTTTTCTGGAATAAACAGGATGGGCTAGGTGAGTTGTTATACAGAAGACTAATGAGTTAACTTAAGGCTGATGGTGCTGTTTGACACACCACTGATGTAGCACAGGGACAAGGTCATAGAAATTCATATTTTGACTGGCGATTTTGTCACATGATACTTGACGGGTCATAGGATATAACAAAGCTGAACAATAAGAGCGGGGAGGTAGTGAATGCACAAATAGTTTGAACGTCACGGCGCATCATATATAAATTGGAAATGTCGTTTACGGATGGTGAAGTAAATAACTTAACGAGGGTATTTCTCCCGGTTAACTCCATCCTGAAAAGATTCACTCAAAAAATATTATAGCATATTAAAAAAAATTAGGATATACAGTTCAGGGTTTGGCAAAACCAATAACAATTTTTAAGACCTAAACCGTCAATTATGGGGTGTAGATCCTAATTCTAGCTCTAATACCTGAACTACATATCATAATCTTAACCCCAAATAATTATCCTCTTAGGCCTCAATAACAAGTCTGAATCCCAATCATGGCATTATAAAACCCTCATCCATTCGTTGTATTCTGATTGGCTGAACGTATTAACAGCCTGCCAAACTCATTCCCCGATTCTCTCAAGCTCGTCCTTGTATTTCAACTCTAACCCAACATATAGAAAATAGTTAAATCTTGAATAGTGAATATATTCAATTATTATTTATAAATAACTTACGCGTTTTAAAAGTATCAAATCTGTTACAAACTTTTGATGAAGAAATGTATTAGCAGTAGTAGTAGTAATATCAGGTTTTGAAATATTCGTCGAATGTACTTTTTTATCAAAAGATTTACCATTAACTAAATTTGAACATATAATTTCTGAGTTTGTACATTTAACAATTTTGTCACCTTCATTCATATGCTCAACAACGTCATGCTCAGGATTTTGTACAAGCGTTTGAATATGATGATAATCTATGGAACATGATGAGATATTTCTTGTATTGATTGAATGCTCATTATCTATTGTATTATTATTATTATTATTATTATTATTATTATTATTATTATTATTATTATTATTATTATCTACACTTGTTACATTGCCAATATTATCGTCTAATCTATTTGATTGTTTTCCTGTAAAATTTAAACACTGTAAAGTGATAACAGGTGATGAACAATCAATTTTCTTATTATCCGATGGAGATATTTTCCTACAATCAGATCTCATTTGATCTAGTTGACCAATAGTAGTATATTGGTTTTCTAAATTCAAATGAAAATTTCTTACAGCTTTGTTTTGTTTTGGATAATTTGTACAACATGTATTTGTTGTGTGTTGATTATTCGTGAACTTTATATGACGTTGATTGAAATCATGACTTAAATGATGATGATGTTGTAGTCGACGATGATGATGATGATGATGATAATGGTGATGATGTTGACAAGAATAATAATGGTGGTAATACTGTTGTTTTAGATCATGATAATGTGATGATTGTACAATTCGATCATCTTGTTCATATTGATTATTAGAAGAAAATGAAACTAACCGATTATGATCGCAATAATTGAGGTATCTTTGACAAAAACAACAATCAGATACACATGATGTAAATGATATCTCATTATCAAGATGTAGTTCATTTAATTGATGTGAATTTATTGGACAACTTTGAGTACAAAAACAATTTATATCACTATATTTTGGTGAGATTTCATGAAATTTACTGTATGTTAAATCATTGAGAGAAATAATTGAACTGCAAGAATTATTATTGGAAACTATAGGAGATTGATCAGTATGACAAAAACCTATTAAATTTTCAACTGATTTCTCATTAGATATTAATGATGATGAAAAGAATGGTAAACTTCCCTTTTTCAAATTGTTTATACATTCAATATTTGATCTGAATAATAAAATAAAAATATAAGAGACGAACTATATTTATTAAGTGCTAGTTTGAACAATTTCAGCAATTACATTTTAGTCGAATTTTAGAAGTACTTTCAAAAAAAAGAAGAAACAGTTGGTAATAAATATTAAGTTGTAATTATATATATACCCAGCAGATAACAGATTCAAACTTCAATCTACTTATTACTATTTGAACTGTGAAACGAGATCACTAGTCTCTATATAAACATTGTGACTTTAAGCTGAGTACATTAACTTGCATTGATTATGATCTTGGTGATTAATTATTTAACCTATAAATTTTGTAAGAGGGTTTTGTAATATTATCTAGTTGACCAAAAATTCAATGATTGGTAGTTAATTACCACATCCAACCATTAAACGACTAATTTATTTAATAGCCTACTTCTATTGTGATATGAAAAACATGTATATTAAATTTATTTCATTAACATTTGAATCATTTAGGATTCCGTTCAACTGTCATCATGAATGAATGATAAATACTAGCTTTTTAACTCATCACACGTAAGTTGCTATTATTTGATCACAGATGTCTTGGAAATATAGCTCGCATCTGCTGGGATCACCGGTTAAATAATAGTGAGATTAAGCGCAGGGTATTAGGGAATAATGGTCGTAAATCGTCACCGACTGAGATGGTTGGGCTACATGTTACGCATGCCTGAACACCGATTACCACGACGCTCAATGCTGACTAGTGTTGAGGACGGTTGACAGAAAGGGGCGCCCAAACTAAAACGTGGCATCAGTCCTTGAAGTTCCTAACTTCTGGTCTGAGCAATGTTGGTAGTTGCAGACTACTAGGTTGGGATCCGCGCGACTATCTTAAACAATGGTTGGAAACTCTGGGTGACATGGATGAGGATCGATCACAATGGCGTAGATGTATACACGTTGTCTTCCCTTAAACCGTGAGATTAGAATAACTTTATCTTTCTACGAACCACTTCTTTCTCTCTGCATTACTTCCTCATATGCAATCTTTATTTTATACATTACCACTACTGAAGTAACTACTTCTATGAATTTGGTGCTCATCTTGTAGTGCTAATGAAGTGCGGCAACTTGGACCGATGTATATATATGCCTGGTCTTACGTTGTAGCTAACTGTCTGACCTCACTAAATATTTAATTATACGAAAATGTAGACAAATAACACTGACTTTTACAATTAATCTAAGTACAACAAAACAACTCTTTATCGAAATCGTTCCATAATAAAGGAAATTAAATAATGACACGTTTTTAAATGTATTTTAACATAAAAATCAGTTCTCCTATAACTGTCATAATTTGTAGATAAACCATAAAGTAAGTGGATACAGTATTCATAATAAACTGTTAGAGGTATGTGGCAGAAAATCATCCACTTAAATAATAATAATAATAATAATAATAATAATAATAATAGTAATAATAATAATAATAATAATAAAGGTAATGATAATAAAAATTGTGACAGAGCCAATCACGTTTCAATATGGATATCAGTTCAATCTTGTGGTTAAGTGATGCTAAAAAGTTTTAAACAATGCCAAAATATTTTTCTGGTTTTGGACTATCTGTAATGGGTCCTTAATTAAATTTCAGTTTTTTAAGAAAAATATCTTAATTTACATGCTTTTTCAACCGATTAGTGTTATGTCCCGACAAGAATAATGGATGGTAACTTTTGGGATCTATTGATGAACCAATACTAGACGTATATTTCTGTTGTATAACTATTAAGTAACTAAACTATGCATATTCATATTCCTCTTATTATAAGCTTTATTTTGACCCATAAACTATTATTATACGTTTTACCATTCTTGAGTTATACCCAGTATATTAATTATCACTTCCATCATTCACAGCCACATCTGGATAAGTCTTGTACAAATGTTTCATATTTTATTGGTACGTTGTGGTCTGTTTGATTGGCGTATAAACTCAGTATGTTTGGAATATAATGATTCATATTGCAGAGGCTGAAACTTGTGTTCTGGACTTATCTGGCTGGGCTAGACGGAAAGCAGGGCCAATCAGAACTCTAGGCTGCTCATATGGGTTTACGCGTCATTGATCCGATCGATAAGTCACTGTTCCCTAATCGGCGGTCACAAGTTATAACAATTAGATCTCTACAATTATCAACCTAAAAATCACATCTATTTTTCTGTTTAATTTGCCATATCACATCAGTACGGTAAGGTGAAATTATCAAGACAATAGTCGGAGTGGTAAAAGTCGTGACAGTATTAGAAGTAGTAGTAAGAATAATAATAACAATAGGGAAAAGTGGACAGAAACAATATAATTCAAGAAGGAAGAACAAATTTACGAAGTAAAAGATATAAATATTTTCAGGAAAAGAATGTACTTGTGTCATTACAACCGATTCTAAATCATTGTATTTAATTTCTTTAACCACTTGTTATAATAATCATGAGGACATCAACTCAGATATTCTGATTCTACCTAGATGGCTTAGTTAAACAGTCAATGATTATCAAATTAAATAAATGTAATTGAATTGTATCAATAACAATAATTGAATATAAATACGTTTACACTTAGTTGTGATAAACTACTATGCAAAAGGAAAATAAATCAACTTACGATAAAATATTTCGATTAGAATTATTAATTTCACTTGATAATTGTATTTTTGTTTTAGAATCACTACAAAAATGATCATTATTATGTAGGTTAGATTTAATTTTGCCAGATTTTTCATCTGATTGACTTCGTGATCTAATCGGTTCAAATTTTCTTACTTGATAACGATAAGAATTTGAAATAGAGGCAGATTTATTATTATGTATCGGTATGGAAGATGATACACGATCTGATGATGTTCTTGAATAATTTATTGTATGTACACGTTGAAACCAATTAGATAATTTTACAAAAATGTAATTCCATCGAAAACCAACAGCAAGACGTGAAAATTCTTCTTTATTTAATTGATTAGCAACCTGGTGATGATTTGCATCATTTTTAGTACATAATAAATCATCTGAATTAAATTCATTGTTTTTAGTTAATGATATAAAATGTGAAGACTTTTTCAATCTCATTGGAGGTGATTGCGATTTGATTAATTTATTTGTAGTTGAATTTAATGACTGAAAAGAAGTTTTTGTTTGGAAGTATTCATCATCTAAAGTTGAATGATCTGTTTTCGGGAAAAAATAATTTCAGATTATATGATCAAAATGTAAACGAATGCAATACGAAACAAAAGTTAATGAACTAATGAACATGACAGTCAATCAATTTCTCAGTACTACGCGTACATAATTCGTTTAATTTATATTGGTTATTTTAAAAAATGATGATATCTTTCGGTGCGGTCCTGAATAATTCTCTTAATAAACCCATGAAATCTAAAAGACATCAAGCTGATCAGTGTGAAACATAGAAGGATAGTGTAAGGTCTGTGGTCTGAATAAGCTACGACGCATGGTTGTAACACTTGAGTAACACACAACTAGACAGAGAAAGAAGTAAAAGACATATAACCAACTGTATCCCTCAATCCCCAATAGTCAAACTCATAATTCATTCATATTTGTCGGTCGCCATGGCTATCCAGATAAGTTATAGTAGGTATCAATAAGTCTATCCTAATTCTCGTTTAGTACTAAACCAGATTACCGTTTCTATGACAATGGTCAATAGTATAAAACTCGATACGAAGTTGTTAAAATGAACTTTATTTCAAACGTGTAACACAAGAAATGAGACTAGGAAATGGTTAAACAGGAGAGTGAATTAATGTATCAATTCTGATGCTCTCGAAGAAGAAACAAACTTCTGACCAAGAAACTGATATCAAACAGTTATCCGACAAAGTTCTTAAATCGGTTTAAAACTCAGATAACACCAAAACTCTTGAATTCTGTCTCGAAGAAAAGAGTATATAATACTTCACCATTTAGAGGAAAATCACATAGCATAGTTTCGAGATAGACAAAAGAGAGTCTTCGAGAAAACATACTACAATCTGAAACTGATAGTTATTGAAAAGTTAAGCCTACACCCTTACCAATGCATTGAATAAAATCAAATACTCTATCATACAGTCTTTATCAACAGAGGGTATTTCTTGTAATTTTTTAAAAACATCAAGTCATATTTACTGTTTGATTTCATACAAGATATTTTTGTCAATTCGAGTCATTTTAAGAACCAAATATTGTCAAGTTTCATTTAGCTCATATAACACATAAGCTTTCTTACAATGAGCTTGCAATTTCGCGCAAAAATTTACGAGGCATTATTGAGTAGAAAAATACCAAAGAGAATTTAGAAATAGCCACATTCCTTTTAGTAATGAATAAATAAATTAGCATGAGGGATTATTTATAGAAATTGTTGAGCTTTGTAGTTCTAAGTCTAAATTCGACAACTATTAAAGATCAGGAAGCTATTTAGTTCTATTAAAAGACTTCTCAGCAATCCGCAACTACTATCCCACTGGGGGTCTAACTACAGTCAGTCCATGAAGTAAACTATAGAGCAAATAAACCTCTTAAATTTCATAGTACGTACATTTGTACTGAAATATTTCAACTTTAAATGATTCACGAATACAGTAAGAGATCATTTAGATACAATTAACGTGCATTTTTGACCATCCTCATTCATTAGTTTGCTCCATAACTCTGTAAACCGTCTTTCTATTTTCATGGTTCATAGGGAAAACAACCTTGAAAATAATCGTTTTCAGTGAAACGAAACCTACCAATCAGTTTAGTAGAAAAAATTACTTTCCAATTAATCTAATCACTTGCCAGTGAAATAACGAATTGAAACAAACGAATTTCATTTTATCTAGACAATTCGTTTATCATACAGTCCAGAAAAGATAAAACCAGACATTATAAAACAGTGAATTTGAGCCAAATCATATGATGCAAACCATAAAAAAGGAATTAGTTAACTATAGACAAAAAATGCAAAGTTTTTAAAAGCTGTCTAAAGGAATGACGAAAAAAGTGATGTGGAAAATCTTCACTGCATTGAATTAGGAAAAATGTTAAATATTTCTAATTCCCCAAGTGAATGTTAACATTTCAAGATAACTAATGATGGCACAATAATCGGTATGGTGATTTCAATGTGAGTGATGGTAAAAATTACAATTTACAGTTAGTAAAGGTCAGAATATTTGACCAACGAAGAAGACTGTCAAAATTTAGTTAGTCAACGTATATTTAATTATTATTATGATCTTAAAAAGTCGTAAACAGTCAAGTTACTTAGAATAGATGGATTAAAGCTAACAGCGGAATCCAGGATGTACATTTCTTCTCATCTGGGACTCGTTAGGTGAATGTACATGCATTCGTGCTGAAGTTCACACTGAGATTCGAATTCATTACTTTTTGATCCAAACAAAATTACACTATCCGTCAGATTACGGAGTTTGCATAATCCCTAACCTGTTTAACGGGTAAGTGATCAGCACTGGTGTATTGATAAGTCAGAATGATGAATCTTAAATAGGCCGAGAAGCGCGTCTTGGATTTTACAACTTCCTACAGTCCATCTATTCTAAATTACTAATGACCTATATCGAATGTATCCACACGAGATGTACATAGGCCAATAAAGACTAATCAAAATTCGGAACTGAATATCAAAAGTCGGATAACTTAAACTATCATTAATATTATTTATTTATTTCAACACATAAACATCGGTACAAGAGGGCACCAAATATATATGCGCCACACCATATTTGTGTGTGGGCTGTGATACTGTCCGGGTGTCCAAACCGAAGCAGGTAGTTTTCTTAGGGGGCCACACCCCGAGCCTTTGACCTAAAGGTCTGATCCACAAGGCAGTGGAGCATCGTGAGGAGATGCATTCCCATGGTAGCCTGTGACCAACGATTGGTTCATACGCCGTTTGTTCCCGCAGGATACTGGAGCCCATGTGCACCATTGGTTTGGGATCCGGTTAAAGCGTCAGACATTCGCTTTTCGTCCTCTCATTTCCGTAAACAACACCCCCGCCACGAGAAGGCGAGGAATTCTAATTACATAAATTAGATTTCGACTTTTAGTTGAGGAAAGTTAACAATTATGACAAACTGAATTAATAATTTAGATGCTTTCAGAGAGAATTCTTACATTTTCGAGGTGATAATTTTTCTCGAAAACTCACGTCGTCAGCTAAATGTTAAGTGAAAACAGTGTAGGAAGCAATTTCTTACAGATGCAATTCTAAACAATTTACCAGTCTGTCAAACACAGAGTCTTAGCTTAGCCAAAGTCACAACAAGTAAACTATTTGGCCTGATAAACTTTATATGTTTCTAAAACGCAAATCAACACAATTAGTATACAAAATAAACAGTTAATACATTCTATTGAACAGGGAAAATCGAGACATGAACAACATACCAAACAGTAACTAGAGGATTGGAAAAATGAGTTAACAAACCGAATAAATAAACGCTCTCTATCCGTCTTAAGAATTCTATATGCCACTTTCACCCATTCTCTTTATAAGTGTTGTAGTTGGTGAATAAGCAAGGCGAGGTCAAGGGGAGTTAATATGGTAGTTAGCGTTTCATGTTATCATTGGTGAGTTCGATTATCGACCACACTTTTCGAACAGGAGTAAATCCGGTCTGTCAAGTTAACCATTTCATGAGTGAGACATCTTATCGGCTATTGCAGGTGAGTCATCTGTGACAATACTAACCAACTCCCGATTGTTAGTTGAACGCTTGAAGAATGAAAGTAAACGTGACAGCAAGGCAGATGTTTTGCAACTTATAACGGCTACTTAAACAGATACTGACATTAAATTCATATCCAATGCACTTATTTGATACAAAAATAAATTTTCGTTATTGGTTTTGTAGGTCCCGTCAAAACCAACAACATCAAGAAAACTAGTTGTCGAATTCACTTAATCAGAAATTGAGAAAAGGTACTGAAGACAATTTTCTTCATCAATTTTGTACTCAAAAAACCCACCAAGTGATATGATGTGAGTTTTCAATTTAGCGTAATCACCTAATGCTTACAATATAAATAGGCACACTGCTTACCAGGAAGGTTGGCCTGCGAGAACACATTTTGACGCATGTTAAAAACATTTTGAGGGTTCAGTCGCTTCCCATATAATTGGTAAACGGAGTCAGTCAGCCACAACGTAGGACCAGGCACATATATGCATCGGTCCAGGTTGCCATACCGCATTAGCACAGCAAGATGAACACCGGATTCATAGGAGTGGTTAGGTCAAAGCGATTTTTATCTCTTAGTTTAAGGGAAGACAGAGAATGTATACACCTACGCCATTGTGATCGATTCTGAGCCATGTCACCAAGAGTCTCCAACCATTGGTTACGATAGTCACGCGGACCCCAACCAAGCAATCTGCATCTACCAACATGGCTCAGACTAAAAGTTAGTGACTTCAAGCACTGATGCCACGTTTTGGTTTGGCCGCCCCCAATTCTCTTCCAACCATCTCTAACACCCGTTAGCATTGCACGTCGTGGTAATCGGTGTTCAGGCATACGTAACACGTGGCCCAACCATCTCAATCGATGAAGATTCACAACCTCATCAACTGATTTACCATCATTACCTAATACCCTGCGTCCAACTTCACTACTATTCTTACCCCGTGATCCCAGCAGATGCTAGGAATATTTCTAAGGCATCTGTGGTCAAATACTAGTAACTTACGAGTATCTTCTACTCTTAACGGCCGTGTTTTGCTGCCGTAAATTAAAACAGAACGGACTACCGCGCAGTATACTCGTCCTTTTATTGATAGACGGATATCTCGCCTTCGCCATAGGTCACGTAAGTTGGCAAAAGCCAGGCGAGCTTTTCGAATCCGTGCTGATTTCGTCACACACCAACCCATTAGGGCTGATCAGACTTCCAAAATAAGTGAAGTTGTCAACGCGTTCGACTACTTCACTCCCTATCCCTAGTTCAGGTGTTGACGCACAACATCGAATGCTGCTGTACCCGTGTTATAATCTCTTTCTTACGGTTATGACCCAGCTATTCCTATTGCTTAGTATTCTCGGACACCGATTCACTCGACAAGTCCCCAAATCAGAACACGGTTGAACAGGAAAGAGATTATATTCCAAATAACAAGGTTAGATGGAAGTAAGAAGCAAGCAAGTCAGTA